CCAGAGATAGGCCTCAGTTTGTACTTGGCTAGCCTTGTCTGTGCTTTTTTTAAGTTGACGAGTCTCCCTATCAAGTTCTACTAATCGTCGCGCGGGCTGCCCCCCTTCCCTTCAGGAAGTAACACGCAGGTACAGGAGGTGATCTGTCTGTCTCTGTTAATGAACTGTACGGCCAGCGGCGATAAGAAGGACTGAGGGTAACATTATTTTATAGATACGCTAATGTAAAAATAAGTGCTTGTGCATGCATGTCCCGATATTTAAAACGATAAAAAAAACAGTAATTTTGCACTCGGAATACGCACATAAGTATAACCATATAGCGCACTGGTCTTTACGACATGTAATTGTATCTATGACGCGCATAGCAAGATCAGCTAAAGTTCATCATATGGCAATCAAATTAGCCCAAGGCCTAAAAATGCTCGGCCTGTTTCATCAACTCCATACTTTAAACAAAAAACAAATAAAGAGACTTTGACTAAAAATTGAGTTACTATATTATTCAGTATGATGACAATGTGGAATGAGAAACATTGCGACATGAATGTTTCGAACAAACCCATAACCGAATCTTGCGTACGTGCACTTTTGCACGAGAGACACGTTGGCTGGGTTTACATATTTAGGCGCGAATCTTCCCAGCCCTCCGCTATAATACTTATTATGTATACACATTATGTTCTATTTGATATAATTTTACTACCTAATATCAAACTAAGCTCTAGCTTAAATAAGCTGCTGAACTGTGGAAATCCTGTGAGTGCCGCGTCCGTAACAGTTCGGAGACTTCGGATAGTTAAGAGCAAGGATAATTTATCCATTGACATACGTTAAAAGCTACCTATTGTTTTTGATTATGACATGATCTTTATGTATTTGATTTAGACATAATTTTCCTTTAAGCTCCCACATATGTTTCACGTAACTGTTACTAGCGCTATTACAGCTTATTGTCGCAGTGCTACGTTGTGAAGCGGATGCTACTTCACATCCGCGCAGATCAGAGCCATACAAAATTAGTACTAATAATAATGCGTACCTGTCTAACGTGACATGCCACCGTACTCTGTCAACTGTCAGATGAAAGCGATGCAACTCGTTTCCAACATAGCGCCGGGACGGACACGTTTCCCGCAGGAATTAAAAATATGAACCCTTCAATGACGTGATACCGCATCCCCTGAGTGGGTGGACACCAAAGGCCATTTGCCGGCCATTGTCGATCATTTCGTAAAAGGTTTATCAATTGCAGGAACCTCACGTATCTGCGCTACGAAAATTTGATTGGTCTGTAGTTTTTTTTTGTATTGACATTCAAGGTGAAGTGCCTATTTTACTGAACTCTGGAAAAAGAAGACCCGGTTTCATTTTTTTTAATTTATTTTCCTTTTGTCCTATTAATTTACATACAAAAATTAGGGCTGAGTGTTATTCTAGTAGACAGGGTCTGGACATCTGTCGAAAATGGTGCGGCTGTTCCTCGTTATAACATAATGTCCTTTACGGACGCGAGCATGAACACAACGGAGCCTTTATATGACGTTGCATTCAGATGAAGTCCCGATGAGCGCGAAATTTTCTACAAGTGACTAGCACAGGTCGTTGAAGAAACGCTTGATCGAAACCATGTAGCATTGGTTTATACTCTGCGCGTACGATAATGTTGCAGAGCTCACTAATAAGCTAGTTTAAACATGTTTGTCGTTACATTGTGTCCGTATCTCACCCTGTGCGTTACAATTGAAAAAGGCTCTCTTTATTGGTAGTCCTTCCATACGTGTTGGTATGATGCACAACGACCAGACATGTCCTAAAATATGATATATAATTATATACTGTAAGGCCGTGGTGATGGCTGGCGATGAAAGGAACTCAGATGTGTTTTGTTCGATGGTAACTTGTCGTCATAAAGATATGAACAGAAACGCTTAACTATATATAGTCAAATATAGTGGAAAATGGGTCTGAGAACCCGTTCACTTCTTAAGTTTGGCTACATGCTGGCCCAGCGCGTACTTTGAACCACCATGAAGAGCAACCGAAATATTAGAAAGCTTAGCGCTGTTCTCGTCTGTAACGTAAAAATGGTTATTGAGAATTGTAGATATTCAGGTATGGCCGAAATGAACTTCCTCACATGGAGCTCTGCTGAAAAACCCATGTACACCTAGTAAGTATGGATCGCGCCCGTTGGGCTGTAGAAAGTATGCTTAGAGTATAAGAACAATTACAAATCAGCTCGTAAGAAACAACCGTTTGCGTCATAATAAGAAATAATTATTTAATTTACAAAAAAACCGAATGTTTATCTAGTATATTCGCCATATGGCTTAGAGAAGTCGTTCCAGATTTACCGCATTTCTTTAATTGAACCTGCTTAGTTATATGAGTTCTTTATGCGTGTGTTCTTTTTTTCAGTTAGAACGAATCTAGAAATGCACAAATAGGTAACATTCGAACTGAATTTAAAAGTTATCTAAGTTGCGCTAGGTGTCACATACTAAGGAGGTCCTAACAGAATGTATCTGATTGCCTTCTCCATAGTAAACGTCGTTTCTCTACAGCGGTTTTCGGCTTCGGACGGGCAATGCCGACAACAGAGTGAATCTTCGAGCGCTTCAGTATTGCGGGCCGTTTGGATCCCTACAGTTGGTTAGATAGCGAATTTAGGCGGCCTAGAAAAAGGACATATTCCTTAGGGTCTGTAGAGCTCGTTTCGAGTCGTTGAACTAGTGGAGTGTGAGCGGTGTATTCTAAGTGATTATTCGTCCGTCGTTTAAATCTAACGAACCTATTATAGGGGCTGCTAATCAGACCTATTGCCGGCCTTGAGTGAGTGGCCTGGTCTTTTCGAACGTGCCACCTATGGAGATGAAGTCAATTTGTGCCACTGTCCACTCTAAGATCTTAAGCTTTATTCTATGTTTGATAAAGGTTCAATATATTGTATAATGGCTATTCAAATTAAGTATCTGGATCATGATAGCCTGCATAAAAATGCGCCACATGCTCGAAGTACGAATTGCATTCGTGTAAAACGTCTCCTGAAATCTATTTTCAATTTTGCACACGGTTGCCGTCGTGGTTTGGAAAGGAATTGCTTTTCGTGCGTAACAGCAGCCTCTTGTATAGAAAAACATTTAATTACCATTTCAGTTGATGTTAATTTTTATGAAGTTAACAATTAACTGAACTTAGTGATTAGCTCCGCACCCACGCAATTTGGTGTGTCTATAAACTACTCGGGGAAATCAGCATGGCAAGTAACGTTACGCCCAGTGACCGTCTGTCTGAACATCTCATAGGATTGCCCATAGCATAGAACATACCAATAAATTAGACGGTTTCGTTTGTTTAAAAACCACCCATACAGATTCACTTGAACTCAAACAATGTAATGATATTTGATCGTTTTGAAGCCGTTGCCCATTGTGACAAAAAACGGCAATTCACAGGAGTTTTCAAAAAATTTACCTTTTTCTAGGGAGACTTTGAAGAGCTTATACACTGCAGTCGTTTCGCTAATGAATATAGAGGTTCATAGATCAGCACATCGTAATGTTATCATTAATAAGTGTTATGCGGTATATATACAACTCGCAATACTTTAGCTCAATGCAAGTAATATTACAGCCACGTAAAAACGTTTTTTTTACTGTTTCTATAGATACGGACCCGCAGAGCTGTGAAAACAGACATTAGACATTACTCTATAAGCGTCAAAGGATCGCTCTAGACAGTAAAATATTTTTATTAAGCTATAGAGTACTAGTTATAAGCGTAGTTATTCCTGAGACAATAGTAGAGGTTTTCTGTACGTTTTAATTAATTTTCAGCTGTAGTTATAAGTGATATAACGAATATATGCTTTCAGAGGAAATTTTATAGATCAACGATGGAACTAATTGGGCTCCATATCGTGTACAAGATCGTGTACGATTTTAAATTTGCGAAGGTAAGTAAAAATATTCCTACTGCAGCGCAATGACTTATCTACCGACGTGTTTCATCTGTGTGTCACATGAAATAGACTCAGTATGACCAAGTAGGTAATCTCTTTCAGCGGCAATATTGCGTGGATCAATGTCAATGACTTTTACAAGGAGCTTTCAGAAGTCACAAGAGAGATATTGCTTTGGCACTAGCTTCGGTACACCCATCACAGGTAGCATCGAGCCATAGCAGCAACAGGTAAGTCTCAAAGGCGACGCTCACTTCGTCAAAGTCGTCGACAGTTCCTCATTTTGAAGTAATTCAAATATATTCCTTCTCCATTTCGGTCGGTCGCTATGAATACATCACTGGGGAGCATAATGGCTAAAATTGGCCCGTCGCCATATTCTATTGCTCATTAGTTCACGAGAACGCCAGCTCGTGAGTGTACTGGACTAAATCCAGGCTAGCTGTTAGATCATGACACATTGGGACGTTTTTTTTCTACATCTGTGCGGAGGGCATTACGTTACGCGAAACAAATTCATTGAGTACACTTGTTAGAAAAAATTAAGAGCTTTAATATGAGCTATAATATAGTAGGGAATATACATACATAACTGAAAGATCGAAAATGAAGAACGAGTTTCAAATTAAGTCTGCCAGCAACCTAAACATACAATAGGGTTGCTAATAAAAGTCTAAAAGCGAAAGCAGCTAAACTATTTTATAAGGGTTCAAACGGCAGACTGTATGCAGTACTCTGGTGGTTGATTGCAGTCTAATAATGTGGTCTTCTGGTAGGAGTCATTTTATCTCAAGTTTTCCTGTCCATAAGGTATAATAGCTCAGTCTGTACCCCAACGATTGATCACTGTGTTAGTATGTAGTATAGAATATTGTCAAAAATACCTGCACATCCCACATAATTTTAGCGGTATGCATGCCTTCACGTTTGTGCAGAACTCGATGACATAACATAACGGTATTCTCATTAAATCACAAAATATCGCCGTAACAGAGGGTTTGGTTGCTAATATGCGAGCCACATACGACAGCTCGGTTTACGGACCAACTCTTTAATGCGCAGAAGCACGATAAGTAAACGCAATCATTTGACCGACATTTGAATTTCGCGCGGCTTGCCTGCAGGAGATGGTCATAACTAATTCCGTAATTCTCATGCTTATACGTGTGCCTTCCAATCCATTCGGTAGCATTTGTATAATGTAATGAAGACTCGGCCGAGTTCTGAGACTTAGTAAAATTTGAAGAAAACCATGGGAAAGGGTAAAGAAAATTACTTATAAGGCTGGAGCTCCAACGCCACCTCAGTTGTTGCGAGGCGCATAGAGTACTTTGGGATTCTTTTACACCTGCACCACGTTTTCCTGCACAGAAGCCTTCCGGCGAAATTCTGGAGAGCTTCAACGATCAAACCTTGATTGGGCCTTTGGTTATACAGGTGGGAGAAAAGCAGTGAACGTTGTACGTGTATAGAAACGTAAAAACGCACACCAAAGAGAGAAGCTTGTTGAAAAACAAAAGTTAGTAGCGCGGCAAGTCCACGTCATCCGATATCCTTCGAATTTTGGAATACTTCTGCTTATGAAGATGCTTATCAGTTTTAGGACACCGCTTATGCGTAAGTATAGTTCTTTTGAATTTTTATTCCTTGAACTGATAATGAACTTTGGCAAGCAAGAAGTCGCCAACACTACAGGATGGCGCAGAAGTTACCTATGAGCTGGCTCCTTTGATGTAGGTTATACTTGCAACGCAAGGTATACATGTCTTCTGTTTACATATAGAAACATAGATGTAATATCGTCATCGTGTTTAGTTAAGCTAATCCTCTACTTATTGTCAGTCTCATAATATTACGTAACCGTATAAACCGAAACGTAACTTTGACGTTTCAATTTACTGCCACCAAACCATCCCCGAGCCACATGTTCGTCCACGTTCCGGAGAAGCTTTTCTGTATGGACACTCCAATTACACCTGGAGTAATGTCATTTATCCTTCATGTTCTATTCTAGTGATTACAGTGACAGCGGTGGCAACCGCAGACGCCGCAAGCATCAACCGCGATGCAGCCACAAACCGTGTTATTGAGTACGATGTTAGCGGGCGGGCACCTGATGAGGAAGTTGTGCCCGGAGGGCTGGAAACCGGCCTGGGTTTACAATTGCCAGCAGGAGCGGAGCTTGTGGTAGGAGATTACGTGCAGACTACGTTCAGCTGTGAAGACGAGCAACATCAGAAGTACGGCTATTACGCCGATGTCGATAACAACTGCAAAGTGTTTCATGTCTGCAATCCCATACGAAGCCCCAGCTCGAGCCCGCAGCACCTACAACAGTATCCAGGTGTGTTGACTTGTGCCTGTGTAAACACCAAATTTAAACACGGAGTGTATATTTCCTAGAAGATGACCGAAAAGAGTAACAGTTTTGTGTAGTTTAGCTAGTTAATTTCCTCACATGATATCCACCTTTATCTCTGAAGTTTCATATAATTTTACAAATAATTGGTTTCATAAGCCAGCTTTAAAACAGTCAAGGCAGAAGTTCATCTACCTCGAAGAAAGCAAATGCCGTAGGAGGTCAATAAGTGACAACTTTGCCAATGGAAAGGATACCGTGATAAGGCTTAAAGCAGAGAAACCAGCCAACCATATGACGATTGACAGGTGTTGACATTTTTTTTTTAACTATTGCTTACATTCCGACATGAAACATGGTAATGGTTATTCTTTACGGAAATTAATGGTGTGTTTATGCGACTTCTTCCAAAGGCGGGCATGTTGCCCTAGCTGTTACACTACGCGAGCGTTTTGATCAACAAAAAACATAACGATTTCACTATCTACATAAGGATGAACATGTGCGAGTTATGACGAAGGAGCTGTTTCAATCAAAAATCGGCCAAAGATGCCCCTCTCTCGTTTCACGGGCGCAAAGGAGCTCCAAATTGAAATTTTAGTTCATTTATATAATTGTACCTTAATTAACATAAAATAATGACTAAACGACACATAAAATATGAAACGTTCAAATAGACAGATTTCAACATGTACAGCTTTTAAAAAGAAGTAATGATTAGAAATAAACAACCATTGCTTCCGCTTGCACATACCGTAAACCAATTACAGTACGACATAATCTGTGAGATTTTTCAGATGTGAACGTGCTACAATATTCATTTTATTGTGGTAACGGGACAGTATTTGATCAGTTTTCGATGACATGTGCGTTTGAGGATGACGCAATACCGTGTAACAATTCGCCGGAATTTTTCTATCTCAATGATAATCTTGGCATTGAGGATGCGCCTCTGCTGACCGATAACGATATCGCTAGAAAAATGGCTCTCATCGAGGCTTCTCGTGGACAACAGTCGACCCAGACTGAAGCCTCTCCAACTCAACCACCCGTCGATGAGGTAAAGGTTTTCGTTCACATGTAGCTAAAAATCATTATATCAGTCATATCTTGCTACTTCACATTTAAAAAGAAAACGTACTTTTGCAAAAAACACCTAATGCAATGGAATTGCTTTTGATCTAGATGCAGTTACCTGAACTGATCCACTTAGTGCGGATCGTGATACGTTAACGTAAAAAACGTCGTTTATTTAAAAAAAATGTAAAGAGGATAGAACAATGTAGATTAGAGTGAAACACAAGATATCTAATCTAGAAGATTCTGAACGTTAATAGGATCTTGGACGGCCGTTACAATCTCATGGGTTTCGATTTTGGAAATTGCCCTTACTATAGGTAGGAATCTGACGATGGGTAGGTATCCGGCAACTGTATTCGTTCAGCGCATTTTGCTAACAGGCACAGATCGTTGAAGAAACACCTGACCCTAAGCAATTTAAAATCTATTACCCTCATAAACTCAATAGTTTTCCACGTACATGCTATTAGATGTCCTGCTTAATCTCAACCTTTTTTTTTTTAAACACTACTTAATCAAACGTATTTCATAGAAACAATATTTGTTAAGCAATAATAATAATTATTATTATTACTACTGCAGTGTTATCCGTTTAAGTGAACTTTCTGCTTGACCAAGAACATTTGAAATACATACGCTTCATCGACTGCTTACTTTCGGTCGAACTTATTGAACCGTACAGTATATTAATGCTCCCCAGTTCCTTAGCTAAATATGAATTCGATTATAATCCCTTAATGATCATGCTTTAGGTGGTATCAGGCTCGGATGAAAGTACGCTTTCTACAAAGGCACCGTTCCGTGCTCAAACACCATCGTATGGCAAACGCCACTCCCCGCCACAGGCAAAGAGGCCCTTGGATTCACCCCAACAAAAACAAACTAAACCATCACCACAGCAACAGCAATCGCAGTCAAAGAGGCCAGCTCACCAGCCAAAGTACTCTACGGTGTCAACGGTACAGCCATCAACGCACACCGGCAAGGATCAAACCACTATCGCCAACACCAGTATCACAACGTCAATATCTTAATCGGGTTACAAATAATGACAGTCTCTATGGCGATTTTTTCTCGTGCGAAAATTGCAATGGGAAGCGCACACAATATCGCCTATGAAGACTATAAAAGCAAAGACCTATTAAAAGCAAACTAATGCCACAGGCATGGTCGAGCTTGAGGTTAGGAGGCGCTATCAAAGGCGTCTATTTGATCGCGCAGGTTACGCCCCCTCGTGTGCAATGAGCTTCAGATCCACCGAAGACAAGACTTCCGCCTATTTCGCATTGAAAACCCTGTATCTACTAGAGGTAGCTATTTATACTATCGAGTCGACCGTAAGAGAATATGTGATTATGAAAAAACAGAGTATTTTTTGTTGGCTTGCATCTGTGGCAACTCGGAAGGTTTGATGGACACCGGGAACTGTTTGCCCGGTGGCGTGTCGTAAATGAGCAGAATCCAGGCAGTACCAAACGCTGCCGAAGATGTAGAAACAATAATAATAATAAAGTAACGTGTATCGATAAACGAGAGCTTTGACTACTTCAGGTAAAATCGGGCTTGGATCTCTGCAATACTAGACTTCACAGAAAAGCTTTGGAAACACACACGTGTCACAAACGACACTACGTATTAATTGTACAGAAGAGATTTATTTAGTTCCTATTTTTAGTAGCGCTGTATAAAATTGGTCGTTCGTGCGCCAACTCGCTGAAAATTGTGTTCGTTGAATCTTGTAGTTTTCTGCTTCTACAAACAATCAGAAAAGCCAATTTGTGTGCATTAATGAGAGTTTCTGCTCTCGAGAAACGTCAATTTTTGGAATAGATTTGTCACTCCGAAGCTGTCGTTAGTGGCTCTTTGCGCCAGCAAACCTTAGCGATGTCACAGTATTTGCCGTCATTTGCTGTCACTTTCCGTAAAAAGAGGCTTCTCCATTTTTGTTTACGTTCTTCTGTGGTGATCTTTCGTTCGACCAGCAATCAGCGTTGCTCATAAAATGATTTGCTTAAAGTTCCGCTGTTGATATCGTGTCACATCCAGATTCGGTGCGTAATGTCGAACTAAATTCTGATTACCTCGAACTGTGTCTGAGCAAACAACTCAACTGCTCCACTTAACTTGAAAATACTTTGCACGGGAGTAGCTGTGACTGGGTTCGTCAAGTGTCTTGGACGACAATTTCCCTTCACACGTTGAGGTGTGATTGTCCGAAGAAGAAAACTGTTAGGGAAAATCGAGCCGATAGAGATTCCTGTTGAGTTTAAAATTTATGGAATAGCCGGATATGTTTATGGTATAGAAATAACGTACATGTTTATTTTCCTAAGTAAGTTGAAAAAACGACGTTTTGCTTTCGTGCATGTGGAGACACATGCATGTGGCTTGTTCAATATTTTGAAAAGCATCTTTGAGGCTCATCACAATCTATTCATGAAGTTCGTGTAGATCAGTGCACGTAGTTGACTCTGCAATTTACTCTAAGGTCCTACTAAGAAAGTAATCAGAGACGTGACTAGAAGATTCGAAGAGATCGTACGAAGGTTACTTCAGAGAATTCCATTAGAACGAACACCAATACTTTTATAGGGCGTTTCAAGGCGTCCGGGTTAATCTTGGTAGCATCGCTAGATATGGCCTCTGAACTGTGCCACGATTGACAGCCAAGATAACTGCATTTTTTCATCAAAAACCGTAGGCCTGCATCACTTTCGCTCGGAAACTCCTAACCGTCAGTTAATGGGAGAAACAAACACAAAACCGATGACAATCGTCAAAACACAGCCATGTTCTGACAGTATAGAAATATTTAAGACACTATATCTTCCTTCGTACACGAGACAGTATCAAATGCTGTTGGATTTGGCTGGATTGGGGCGGAGCGTCCACAAACTCAGTTTAATTTAAAGCGTTTAAAGCAACACTTACAGCTTATTTTGATCGTAAGAGGAACAATTGTAAAACTTTTGCTGCGAGAGAGTTATTGTGGCCTGTGATCAGGCCCTAACGAATGTGTCCTATTATGCAACCAACCTTCGGCAAACAATAGCTGTTACTGCAAACTAGCTGTTATCGACGTGATGTAGATGGATGCTTCTAATATCCTTATTTATTTCCTCTGCTAGACAAGAGCGACACATTAGACGTGTCGTTGTTCTCCGTGATGGGACTTCTTTGATGTAACGGCTAAACTGATGACACAATCCGGCTAACTGAATCGTGTGAAAAATCCGCTTGAAAAATATTTTAAGGTTACTAGGCAGTCATTTGCTACTTTTTGGGCTAACAGCTAGGTCGGTAATACGTTAAAGGCTTGCAGAACCCCTAGTTCAGCCCTCAACAGCCATTGACTTCGTGTGCGGTGAACACAGGCACACCGCTCTCTTCTCAGCTACTTATCTTGAAAACGCTATAAACTGTGCATCTTTATGAGGTTGATTATAATTTCTATAACAGTTACCAGTCCATGTTGTGTGATTTTTATCGTTACGTCAAGTCCGCTGTCATATTTGCTGCCTGCGACTATCTGCTTAGTCCTGCAACGCCAACTGCTAACTGCTATCGGAAATCGCTAACTCTCATAGCATTTTTAGACCAGCAATTGTTTCGCCTTTTATGTATAATAGACCCATCTGAACGTCGACAATTGCGCGTGTTGATCTGCCCGATGTTATAGTTGTGCGCATTTTAAACAGCTCTGATCAGCAACGTGAGATATGACGCTCACGAAAACAGTGGGAAATCCTTATTGCCTTTGTGCTCGGATCCACTGTACTTCCCTCAACGCAGTCCTGCTTCTGAGAAGTGTTTCACGATACGTGTACACAGCTCTATGACGATGTATGAACGAACTCGAACGCTAAAGCCATTGGTAAAAATTGTAGGTTGCTGACTGAACTACTGTTGCGACGTTAGTCACGTACGGTTAGACGAAGCGTACATATACACGAAAGCGTGTGTTTCATTACGATAGCTGGGATCATCGCCGAGACAAACATCCCCAGCCACTACTCCAATCCGTACAAGCGGTATAAACAAGTGGTGTTTTCTTAGAATCGTTACCCAAGACGATTATTTAGAAAATGTAAGTATACAATAGCATTCAATTATTGGACGACGCATGCGCACCTCGTTCCCACATCGACGTAGACACTTTACGAAACAATGATACTCCCCTGAGTTCTGCGAGGAAATTCCATGGCCCACATTACCTCTATACGGATGTGTGAATATTTTTATTAACAATGGTGTAAATAAAATCTGTATTCACTCTATCATTCGGACTGATGAAACGGTTAGAAGATCTCTATGCCGACGCCTGCATATCGTTATCGGAACAAGTAGGTTTGGATCTCTGATCGGATCTTTTGTATTAACAGCAAATTGAATATATCTATGCGCCAGACCAGTGTAGCAAAAATCAGCCTTATTTTTCTGCTTCATGATGTTACACAGATTTTTGATCGATGGATGCTTTCGAACCATCTCTGGAACAAGCCAATCGATGTAGAGGGAAAACAGCTGTCGTCAAATGTGATTAGTTAGATTTGGCCAAAACAGCAAACGTCTCGTTAAGACCGAAACAAACTTTTTTGCACGTATATATATATATATATATATATATACACAAACAAAAGCAATAAACGTGCTTCAATCATATATTGATTGGTAAAGTAATTGGGATTGCCGATTCATAGTTCAGTAGACGTGCATAACGTGCAACATCTGACATTAGCACACTCACCTTCCAAACCGCTATGATTTGGGTGAACATGCACGACCACAATCAATCATCTATAGGAGCTAAGAAGATATTTATACGCAGTTGTGACAGTCTGTGTCTATATATACCGTAGTATGTCTTTATAGCCAAACGATGCCAGGCAGGCAATTACGCATATGACTGACGTTTTCTTTTTTAGCCAAGACTCTAATCCATTAACATTGGTGTAGTCATTGTTGTTCTTGCTATTACTGTTTAAGCTGCTGTCGGCTGGACCACTGGCACTGCTGTAAATGGTTATTTGTCCAGGGCAATGACGGGTCGTCTGAGGGGGATTATCCTCAAGTGGCGGGGACTAGGTGTTGTGGGCGGTGGCCGTTGTAGTGGCTATAAAGATCGCTCTACCGATCATAATTGCCGCTCATCCTGCGACGAGAGGGGGTTCGTCCTTTCGGATACGGCTTGTTTAGTTCTTCGTCGAAGTCGTCACTTCGTTCGTTGTCTTATTCTGCTGTGCAAAATTCGCGCCACAACGTCTACGACCGGTTACACCAATCGAGCATTAGCACCGCTGAGTTCTGAATATTGTGTACGTTCAGCGACGCCCAAATGAGTGAATCCTCTCCGCCGGTTTCGAAAACGTCGCATCTTTGTTGTTGGATAGAAGCAAATGGCCGATCCACGAAAGATGACAATTTCGCAATGCGCTGCAAACATATCGCCTTTCGCGAACCCTTTACGGTGATCAAGTCTTCTGGTGAAGCGGCACTAGAGATCTGGTTCTTCTTTGTCTACTATAATTTCTGCTGGTAGTTATGCCCTTTGCAAATTTCAAGCAAGCCAGGGCAATTACCACGACGCGGAGACACACACACACACACACACACACACGCACGCACGCACGCACGCACGCACGCGCAGCCACCCACAAAAATTTTGGACACAGTTTGGCAGTCGTCCGTACATAGCGCGTAATTTTGCCTGCCTCCCTCCCTCGGCAGCTATTACATCGCCGTTGCGGATCGTTTTCTCTCAACGATTCGGCGATCTCTCTTCTACGAGCCAGTGAAACCTCTTCCAACAGACATCCACTCGTGGAAGGACAGTTGACAGTAGTCAGACGATCGCAGTGGTCCTGCTCGAATCGCGTCTATAGACTGAAGTGACAAAGAGGAAAACTAGATCCCATTGATTTCTGGCTTCTTGTCGAGCATTTAGTGGAGCAAGCAGTTTCGGGAGCGCGGCATTTTATCGTCTAGCCTTAGAAGGTAGCTCAAGAAAAGTTTGTGCCTAATCTACTGCTACAAAGTAACAATGTAAAACTTGGCATTGTTGTAGAATAGCAGTGCTAGTGATGCTAATGAACTTGGTCTTGTGTGTCGCGCCAAAAAATATTTCCAGCAGTGTCGAGTAATACTGAAATTCGTTTGCCAGCCGGGAATATTTGGGGAAAAGCTCTTTGTTAGAAATAACTGGGAATAAACTGCTAAAACCTGGGTTAACGCGTTCATCCTTAAAAGTGGAGTTCTGTAATAAAAGCAAAAATATTGCTAACTCTCAATACGCCACATTTACAACTTGAACAGGATACATATTTAGAGAACAGGAACGTATGGTGAGACGTGGGTAAAGCGCGTACATAAAAGCAGATGCTCGTTATAGACGCGTGGGAGAATGGTGTATTTTATTTAAGCTTTAATAAGAAAATAACGATAGTATCGTAGATACGGCTCAACAGTGAACGGAAACAGATTGTAAGCCTGTTTATACATGAACTGTCGATAGTGTGCCTTGAAAAAGCGTGTTAGGCGTCACCAGCGAGCACGTCCGGTTCCCATTTTTAGGTACATGCTTGTATAGTCCGTAAAGAAGTTCGCCTAAGTTACCCGTCGCTTCGTTCGAAATCTACTAAAGAGAAAACGAGATAAGCTGAAAACTACTATTAGAATAAGATCTAACACTGGGAGACTAGTTAGTTTCAGGCCAATGTAAGAAACGTCATTAGCATCTAATTTGTGTCCTGCTATATATGTTTTCGGTTATTAGAATAATGCTAGTCTCACGGACGCACCAGCCGCTTCGGTTGCAACGGTTCACACTAATACTGATCGCTACGTTCCTCCTCACGTCGCTGTCTTTTGTAACTGGCGGCAATGCCAAATCAACTTTTTCTCCGCAAGAGGCCAAAGGCTCAACAGATGTGCCGTTTAACACCTGCGGAATATGTGGTCGAGCGGAAGGTGAGTGAATGAAGCCAGTAAGTTTGTTCAGAATGTTCGTACAGTCAATCAATATAGTTATACGTTTTAACTTTGAATCGGCTTCTTACAACGATATTAGAAGTTAGGTCTATCTGCGAATGAGAACTGCATTAAAGAAATTAAGGTATGCATAGGTGCAAACGGAAAGGAAATGGAAGAGGAACGCTACCCGAAGCCTGTATGCGGAACAGATTCAAATGTTTATTCGTCGTTGTGTGCCCTTCAACGAGCCTCCTGTGAACAAAATTCCCCTATTGAACGTCAAGAGTGGGACCTCTGTGCGGACAAACAGTCTCTTTGCCCGGACAAGGCATGTATAGTGTAATTTTAGTACAACTGATATTATCAACAACAGAATACCAATCGATAGATTTTCCACACTGTATTCTCCATGCCTATGAGAAAGTATATGCAAAGGCCCTGTGACCGTATTAAGATCCTAGATAGATGCAGCAGCGGCCCAAGAAATATCCTTTAATTAATTCGATTTGACGTTTAGTGCCTTGATATATATGATCCGGTTTGCGGGGAAGACAAGGTGCTTTACCTCAACTACTGCGCGATGCAACGCAAAAATTGTGGTAAACGCATGAAGATTATCGAGCTTGCATATTGTCTGTCGGAGGCGCGCAAGGCACGAAAACTTGCTGGATGTCCGGAAACCTGCGCTCCAATCTACGAACCAGTGTGTGACTCGCAGGGGGACATTCATTACAACGAATGTTTCTTCCGTAAGACGGTTTGTGAAGCCAGCGGTGACGACCTGAACAACTCGCACGTAAGTAACCTGCGAAAACGACATTTCGAAATTATCGATGTCGTATTGTTTCCTTGCGTTTCTCTGAACATATGTATATATGGGGGATAGGAGGAAGCATCTAATTACCTATTCTTGGGCCTACTACGCATAGTGTTGCTACGGCAGACCTCGGTCGTCTTGAAAGTCAGAAGAGTTCAATAGGAACCATAAACGTTCGTTTTACTCAGTCGGTAGAATTAGTCATTAAAACTTGCCCGCCCAATGGCTGGTAGGAGCAAGTTTTCGGATTTGTTCGCTCTGTAATAATTAAATCAGCAATTAACTATGAACTGGATTTTGACATCTTCAATTGGCTTTAATAGCAAATGACAGAACAATGCTTTGCTTAATATGCCGGTACCATGTATATCTGTTCACACAACTGTAGGTGAAAATGCTTCCGCTAAAGACGTGCGTCGATTTCGCGTCGTCACGATGTCCAGAGAAATGCTTGCCTATCATGGACCCTGTGTGTGGATCTGATGGCAGGCGTTACCTGAACCATTGCAAATTCGCCCAAGAGAACTGTGACAAGGGTACAAAGAAAATGCCCTGGGTGTATTGTCTAGGTGAAGTCAATCTAAAATGAACCCAGTGATTAAGTGAAAAGATGAATTAATAAATGACACAAAATGCATCATCGACGGAAAATAGATGAGGTAGTTGAACGTTGACGACGGGGACATTAAAAATCGCCGGATCTAGGTCCTGGGTCACCCAAGAGATTTCCTGAATTTTCAGCTGAACATATATGGAAGAGATCGATTTCAAGTGCCTTTGATGGCGATCTGTCTGTTTTTTGTGGAACGAAAAGTCCTATATTAGGTCCAATCACATTGTAGTGATCGATAGGTGTGTGGGCGAACAGTTGGATTTAGTAACGTAATTATAAGTTGTAAGTTGTAATAAGGAGCATTCAGTTACATTAAAATATCGAAAATGTTTTGTTGTTTAGCTATTTAATTGGTTTACTGTCGACAACTCGTTTACTAGGTACTTTCTGCACCCCAATACGCAGTTCCGGCAACTGACAACTTGAACCGCCATGATCCGTCGCTGATTTTCAGATATTCCCATTAGCCTTAGCATAGGAAACACACATGAGTTGAAACTAATGCTATTAAGAAAAAAAGTAATAGATTTTAAAAAACAAGAGCGCAGTTACTTCAATATTATCGCTTTATTGCTTGGCCATCTTTGTTCGATCATACGGAGTCTCTTCATCGCGCTATCGCTTCGTACCTACCCCAGAACGCCTTCGCCATAGCCAATCCACGCATAGACAATGCATTGTCCTGTTATATTATTAGCAGTATAACCTTATAAAAGTGTTACCTTAAATGTGTTTTTTTGTTTTGTTCCTCACAATATCGTAGTCGATTTATCGCTCCGTTTAGCATTGAGCTTTGGTCCTATTGATTCTCCTCCAGGAAAGGGCACCGCGTATGCGCATACATAACTATAATGCGTAAAATGTGATCAGATACTATCTCATATGGATTATCCTAATAAGTAACGTAGTTCAATCTGTCAACATAGATCTGCCTGCATCTTGCTCTAATAGAAACTTTCATGGAAATGTTTGACAAACAGACGAGCATACTAGTTGTTGTTGTTGTTGTTGTTGAATGCTTACTCTGTCTGCTGGATTATTGATCCTTAGAGGATATCGTTTGTGAGCTTTGAGCCCAATTTTCTTGTTACTATTTCTAGCGAGACCAAACTTTTATCTCAATATGTGCAGTAAGGTAAACATCTAAATTCGTTATTTTCCAACATCACCGCATAATAGGGTGTAATATAAAAAGGTGTGTTAATACCTTTTTAAATAAGTTTTATTATCTAATAAAATATAAACATTTACATATTCAGTACATGGTAAATACGGTAGTAAAATATGATCAAGTATTTACACGATGTGCGCAATAAGCAGCGATTCGTTTTTAGTCTTTTTATCTATATAACTTTGTTCTATATATATATATATATATATATATATATATATTGAGGAAGCACGTACTAATGGTAAAATAAGAGCTGAAGGAGATAGCACATGTTTCGAGGACGTCAGTCTTGAAGATAATATTTTTTTCAAAAAACAGCGCGCAGCACAAGCGTATATACTCGGTATACGCAAAAACAGTTGTATAATGTATTGTTACAATTAAAACGCACCAAAAAGAATCGACGATAGCTTTATGTATATTTGGCTTTAACAAAGATCTGCATATGTTAAGATGTGTTTGGTTTAAACAATATTCTGATTTCAAACACCTTATTCTGCTTACATAGAACAAAACATCTCTGACAGTATGAAAAAAGTGTCATATTAGATAAAGGGCTGGTCATTTTAAGTGATTCTTTTCCATATTCGCCCAAATAATTTCCGTCAACGGATTATCGCAGATAAGGGTTTGTCAAAAACAAACCTCGTCTTTCTCTCATATTCAGGGTGATGGACAATGTTAATGTAGTGTAAAATAGTGCAATTTCACACTGTTTCCGGTATTTTACTGTGTTTTTTTATTAACACTATGTAAAGCAAATTGACAAAATAGCATGAACAGGTATCAAGGTCTGCATCTTTGTAAAAGGCCCATGAACGAACTCTCACTTATGTTAGAATAACGTCTTGTTTTAACCAGTTAGAATATTTTACTTTTTAAGAGAACACATGAAGAAACTTACTTGGACAACTTGGAAGTAAATAACTTGACGGTCTAAATCATTGCGCTACGCTGTTAATTATTGTACAAAGACTTCCTACGCCTATCGCCACATTGAGACGCGGTTCTGATGCGCGCATGATGTACTTACAAAGCACGATATGTAGAGGTAAAATTCAAACGATATTTAACCTCGAGCGTGAACCACCCCAAGTTCATTTACCAACTGATACCGAAAATTCGAAGGGGAATCCATCTGAATTTGGTACGGAAGCAAACATTGATAACAACTGACAAATCCTGATGCCGATGTGATTAGCAGAGATTGCTAAGGGATGTTAATATCCCTTGAGATTTGCCTAAATATTTTACATGAACTGAACATGAAATTCTGCCCATAAGCACAAACGAATAAACAAAACGCATAAGCACACAAGAAAAAATTGCGTTCTTGGGCAAAGCGAACTTCTCCTAGCTTATTGCTAATCTATATACCATCAGTGATGGACTTTTGCGTATCGATATTGCCAGTGCATAGTAGACTGGTCTCGTGCGTTTAGGCATTTTCGCTACACAGTATAATAAAAGCAGGTTAGATAGTATAATATTTCGAAGCGAGAGTGTCCATATACTCGCCTACATATGTAGTAATTTAATAAGGCCTATGAAGCTACTACGGAAGCAGTACATTGTTATATAACGCGAATATTGTTCCTGTATTGTATAGAAAAATATCTCGCACACGTACCCACATGCTTCCCAGGGCACGAACTGGTCATTGGCTTTGATACTTCTTAAAAAACACAACATATGTGTGCTATGTCCCTGTTTCGTCTTATCCACCCTCGGTAGTGACTAGACAAATGAAAAGCTTTGTTACTTTGTGAGTTTGCTACATATCTTAGGAAGACACGAAATTGTTAGCCTATTTCCGGCTTTACCTGTCTCGGCCTGAATAGGTCGCAATTGGTAGTAACTCGACTGATGTACAGAGGCACATGTCTGTGCACAGTTCGCGTTAAGTTCGTATGAATACGCCGAAGCCAAAACCCAGCCCCTTTGAAGTGCTTCTTTTTTTCTTCATTTACCAGTGCATGTTGTTTTTTCAGACACTTGAATTCGTCACGCAACTTACGGAATATTCAAAGTTTCAACATCCTGAATTTTAGCAAAGTTTTTTGACGAGCCTTTTTAGCCAGATTCACCCTAAATGAAACCCATCCTTAGACTCCGCTCAGAATTACTCATTCAGTATATAGACTCCTATTTTTTTATTGGTTGCAATGCTAACAATATGACTTATATAGCAGCGGTATCGCTACTTTGTTGTATGACGATAACAAAACCTTTTGAACAGGGCACTGGAGTGCAGCATGCTATGCTACATAGACCTTGTCATATTGCTTCCACGACAGTTCTAATTTCAATATGCCATGTATTCACAAAAAGATCAGCACGTTTTTTCATCACGGTTCGTAGTACACTTGGCGACGCCCAGCGCAACCAAGCTTCCCTTCGCTCAGCGATATAAACAATCGTTAGTACCAGAAGAAAAGAAAGCTATTACTCTTGCTACGAGCTCATAGGCAAAATGTTTCAGTCTAACGCTTTGAACGTTAACCATTGTAAAACTATACGTTGATATTTCGGTCGAGACCCGGCTCCTATATTTTAAGTCCTCAATCAAACGTCCGAAAAATTCTGAAATGGGAAACAACACCCAACGCAGTGTTATTTGTTCACTGGCATTACAGAAGAATAATGCTTGGTAAAACTATAAATGTGGCGCTATTTGTGATGTAACGATGATGCATACTTACTTCGAAAAGTATACTGAACAATTGGTTCATCTAGCAGCTCCTGTCAGGATCTCTGCATTGGCAGTTTAATGAATCCTTGATAACGGTTCCGCCGACAACGACGCACCGCTAGCCAGATGCACAGCGCTAACAGACATACACAGTAGGACGCCATTACTGTTGATTCTTGTGGCATTCGACACTGGGACACCGCGAAGTTGCTAGGCGTGAAGACGGACTACAATACAAAAACTGATTAAGCTTCTTCAACAAAACATTACTGCTTCTCAAAAACATCGTACAGAAAACTTCCCGCATCTGTTTTAAATAGCATCAGAGAGTATGTGGTAACGTATACTTCAGTAACTCATACAAGACTCTAAAACAAATGGTTTGCTTATTCTGAAGCCAGCATATATATATATAATGATTGTCAAATAAGAAGGGTTCGTAGGGGAACGCTCCCCGCGTTGAAGCTTTGCAAATAACCTACAGTACATTTCCAAATGCTAAATGAAAACATGATATACGTACAAGCACGAACGCTGGATTATTCTTATTTCGCCAATTGAACGACGGCAAGGTCCACTCTGGTACCGGACCTTGAGGACCATTATGTTCTATGGAGCAGCTATGGTGAGAATGGCCATCAAATACAGCGCGCGGATTGAGCTTCAAAAGACGCGCAGTCATGTCTTTAGCGCGTGAAGAAATAGACAAGGAAGACTTTGTATTAGATAGAGATCTGTCAAAAATGCAGTGTTCTTCTCATGCAATTCTAGCACAAAAAAAAAGTTAGAAAAAAGATCTATAGCAAAAACATAGATATCGCTATCTAAACAAAACGCTGTCTGCCATGACAGATCCAACCGGGCGAAACCGGATGTAAAATTCGAAGAATACGAATAAAGGGTATAGCAGACTCATTTGATGCTGTTTAGTTGACCCACCTTCATAACCTGTGTCAGCATCATGACATGCCTAAACAAATCATAAAGAGGTTTAGAGAAGGCATAGTCCGGATAACGCTAACTAGTACGCTAGTAGTACTAGTAGTCATCGAAATATCTTCGGTCCAATTTTTTTTTTGTGAAACAGGTACTGCTTGATCAGTCTATTGTGTATGTTTTAAGGCACGCGTATTAGTGCAAGCAGTGAATTCGGATATATGACCATCAGGCGGCACAATTTTTTTGAGCCTGCGAAGCTACGACCTGCTCCCATTTGAGGAATATCCCAGTTTCATGTAGCAAGACGTACAACTATACCTTTAGAAAGAACTTCCCATCGTTCCCGATTACCATCGGAGTTTGGTCCACCGTCGCGATCCTGACACCCTCGATCATTGGCTCGGTAGAGCGGAAAATGCTGCAGGAGGATTGGTCTAGTGTAATGAGGTAATTGAGCCATAAGCGCTTCGCAGCTACGATCCACAGCGCGACGTTCGTGCTGAATAAATAATAAATATATGAACCGGTTTAAATAATAGATTTAGAGCCAGCCTACTTCTACAAGAATAATAGTTATTTTAAATTAATCATTTAACTAGTCCTACCTTACAGGACGCAGTCCCCTCCAGAGCGCCAATCTGCGGCAGTCAAGGGCTGCCATTACAAACAAAGGACATTAACCCACAGAAAAAGATAATGTCGGGTTTATTCTCATACACACCACCGTTCGACTGCAGTTGAATATTTGTTCAATTCTGTTGAGCTCCTTTTCAGCTTCAGTGCATATCGCACAGTGGTCTCCCTCGAGTGCTATCGAATTCAGGGACACGAATGCACTTCCTTTGACCGTGATGAGTTCCACGCCTGAATCTGACTCTGAAAACAGCCTCTGAAAGCGGTCTACGAGCACCTTGGTCATCCTGTGTGGGAAAATAAACGTAACAACCGGGTCACAACAGTAAAGCCTCTGGCCGTCATCATACTGTCCGTACAATTTACGGCGTCCATCCTTTCGACAAATAAATGAATGTTATATCTTAGAGAAGTGCCACGGTGATCGATGGGTCAAATGTAAGACGTCAACTGATATTTTATATTTACGAACAACTGAAAGATAAGTAATCACACGTAGAACCAGATCTTTCTGTTTTCTAGATAAAATCGAGGACCACCATATCCCATCCGACGTATCTGGTGCGTCTACGCCATTACGTCTAAATCCACTACGTCTTAAATCTTAAAATTCGCGACAAGTTCCACTGCAGAGCATACGAACTACGTGGGTATACTACAAAGCATACAGATAAATAGGAAGCTCATGTAATGTGAATGTATTTTCATTTATATAATGCGTTAAATCTACAAAGCAGAAAATGCTTAGTCCTACAAACTGCGTAGACTATGCCGGGCCTGAGCTGGTGCGACAGGTGTATGTACCTCTAATGTCTTAATCCAAAAACTATCGTTAAATATGCCACCTTAACTCTGAAGTCAATTCGGCCCGAATACAAACTTGTAATGGAAGCCAACGTCGTGGTTTCCAGCTGCCACGATAAACTTCGTCTTCTCTGCCTGAGGAAATATCCGCTTAAAACGTTGAACGTCCCGGTTAAACTGCACATTGTCCATCCATTGACCCTCATCGAACAAATCGCCTTTGAAAGAAAGCCATGCCAGGAAATAGTATAATTCGGCTCATGCTAGTAGGTACAACTCATTAGGTAGAGCATAACTAAAACATACATAGTATCTACGACACTAAAATTAAAAATGCTGAATAGCTCTGGTAATGCTTGAATAAAATCTTTGCTATTTACTATCAAGCAATTTATTATAGCTCTTCCAATCATTATATTCGACTATTGCTTCACAATATCAACCAATACAAACAGTGTTACCTTTTATGTTGTGTGAGCACCAGGTAATGGTGTTAGAACCAGCTTTTCATTGATTTAAGCTGACAAATTTACATGAAATCGTCTGTGTCTTGATCAAATATCCTCGATATTTTGTTCTAATAGGCAAGGATTCCCTAAGCTGCTTAGATCAAATACTCACCAAGGAAAACGACCACTTCAGGCTGATGTAGAGTCATAGCAGTAGCGAAGGTTCGTTTCATCTGCCATTCTCGTCGAAGTTTATCAAACCAGTGGCCACGAAAAGGACCCAGCAAATGGGTGTCAGCAACCATCATTACCTAACGTTTTTGAAAAAAATCAGTGCAAAATAGATGAAAAAAGGCAACAATTAATTAATTAATCTTTAAGATGCTTTTGTCATCACTATGCATTAGGACAGGAGCAGGGCTAGCAGTTACTGAGGTTTTCTATTCGTGCGAGTAAACAAAAAATCTCTGTATAAACAGTGGGTCCTGGTATTGTTGTACCTTGAGAGGAGCCGCGTTGGGATCGGACCGGATGTTGTGCTCCTGAGTAGCAGAATCTAACAGAGGCCATGTGCACTGAAGAAGCACAAGGTAGTATATTACAACCTACAAATGAAAATGGAATCATTGTTACCGACACAAGAAGCAAACCATCTCGATTTCATTATGATAGTTACGAAAATGATTGCACCTAATATAGGAAAAAGTAAGAGCCTGCATACCAGAGTGATAAGTCTAACTTTAAGCCACTTTAAGCCAGAATTAACCGCTGCCCCGAGTTGTTATGTATATGCATACAATATTCATCGCTAAGCTCCTTTTTACATAAGTTTACCTCACAATAGATGATAATGCACGCAAGTGAGAGAAGAATCTTCGGTACGTAACGTCGCCAGAATGACCCTTGAATGTCCATTAAGAACGCAGGCGGTAGAGACATATGGTGAAGTGTTCTCTGGAATCTCCTGAGCGAAAGTCTCGATGTCGACTGTGGTCCGGCCCGGTCGCTCTCAATCGCGAAACGGAAATCCCTATCAGCGTCAGACGCACCCTGAAGACCGCGCAGGCTAAGCGTTCGGGCTCTGATGGTAGGTGTCGCCTGGGAGTCTTCGTTGTTAACGTTATCTACGTCGGACGTCTGTAACACCATCACAGCGGCCCCACTGTCCCCCCGCATTGAACGGGAAAGCCGACCAATGCTGAAATGAAAATTTGGAAAAACTGGAATGAAAACATTACTCTTTTATCTAAAGAGATATATGCTAAGTAAATGTGACCAGTATGATATTTAAAATGTCTTCTAGGATAAGCATTCAAGGCATCACATTGTAGTTGTAAGGAACCCGTTTATCAGTTAATAACATTTACAATAAAGTGTTAAGCAACTGCTAAATCTTATTTGACTAGATCAAATGTATAACGTATCCAAGGAAGTAACTTGCCTGTCTCGTAGTTATAATATGCCCACAAGATGAAAAGTTAATCAAATCTGAAAAACTTTTGGCCTACTGGTTATACATTGATATCGTTAATCTCATTTCCTTTTGAAAGCCTGAAGACACTATACTCGATTTATAACCTACCAAATAATGTCGCTTCTCGTCATTTTTTCCGAAGCTCAGATTATTATACAGTAAGACGCCGTATAAACCGTGTTATATTTTTGCTACTTCATGCTGTTTGTAATATAAGGGCAAAAATATACACATCTTTTAATCGTTATGAATCGTAGGCATTCTAAACTGTGTGTCGTATCCTAGTTAAACTGAGTAAAAGATAGCAATTTAAAAAATGATAACTGCAACTAAAATAGCGTATTCGAAATTTTTAAATTAAGATTAACGATTTAAGGAGTCTAAACATCTGAAGATGCAAAATAATATACATAATAATAAAATAAAATATATATTTAAAAAAAAAGGCCGTAAACAAGATGATATCTCTTGCATGGCTCGACATCACCTTATGACCGAACATACCCGACAATGCCACCGAATTTGATTTCTTTCGAGGGCGACGCCATACTCTCGTATTTTTTCCGCAACTCGCTCATGGAACAGACCACACACGTTTCTAACTAGCCCGGTCAATTCGCAAGGGACCCATTTTTACTGAGTTTCGGTATTTTCAGTATATTGCGTGTAACTTTGAAGTACTTAAAATGCCAGTTTGGTCCGACAAACCTTTTATACTCCAAGTTCTATTACTGTAAAGAGCCGCCTCAATTGCAGCAATGCATTCTTATATTTCGGATCCTGATATTTGGTCATATTTTTGTTGGTCCTCAACACTTCCGTCTCGGCTCTCGAAACGTTTGCGCCCTTCACTCAGTGTGTCTCCACTTAGGGCTTAATGTCTTCACCAATCTTCGACAAAGTTTCCCGGCGAACAACAAAAGCTTAAATAATGAGCCTCCATTTTCGAGATTATAAGGTGATTTTTTCTTTGAAACCTCTTCTTTCAAACTCAAGCGGTTTTCACATGTTAGCAGCAAAATTCCGTCTGCTAAGGTCGCTTAGTTCGAAAGTTATTTCATTTCAAAACCCGTTAATTTCGCTTGTAGCAGCCTAGTACCTATATCATAATTCAACTGAAACCGGCACAAAGCAGTTGAAAATCTGCCTCGTGTAACTTATACTATATATATATATATATGTACCAACCAGAACTGTGGCATGAAACAACGGTAGCGAATCTTTCTATAACTTAGTAACTTAACGGATAGCGTATTTAACGTAGGTTCGACCCGAGTATAGGTAGAGTTCGTCTCGTGCTGAAAGCCAGCCGTTTGCTGAAATGCCTAGTGGCGATAGCGGACATAAAACCCGAACCAGAGAGGATAGTTGTTAGTTAGCGAGATTGTACGCCCCTTGTGGATACAACCATAGCTATCCTAACCATTACTCAAAAGTTTAAATATAAAAAATGTGCGAACAAAAACACGATTCTGTTTCCTTACGTGCGCTTAACTTTCTTACTTGTGTGAAAATTGCCACTTGGGAGTCTGCTGTGTTTTATAAAACCATTTATATCTACATAATGAATAGCAACGCAAACCTTTAAAGAGAAATAATTGCATGTCCGCCAAACTGGGTAAACTTTGCACTAGCCACGTAAAAGTTTCAGTCAATCTTCAAAGTTACGAACAACGTTCTACCAGTCCAAGGAATCATGAGTACTACTTGTATGTTTATCTGAATTCTCTCAACCTAGCGCCGAAAACACAAAAAAAAGATCAATTTGCGGCGAAGGCACGCGTTATAATAATATGGAGATTATATATATGTGTTATGAAATGGAAACTGCATTGCACAAAAGGGAAAGGACTGACTAAGTGAAAACGGCGGCGCTGTGAGTCGAACCAATTGTTGGGTTGAAATACTTAGGCCAACCGGGTCGGCTTTTTTGCGCATTCTAGTCAAATTAGTATTAAAAAAAAACCACTAATCCAGGACAAAGGACGAGCAGAATATAAGTTCAATTTATATTCCAGCCTAATAGCGCTCACCATCCTGGAAAAACCTAAAAGTGGTGCCCGGTGCCCCTATAGCGTCCCAAATAATGTACATAGTATCTAATATTTACACATCCCTGTTGGCTTCATAAACGAGATTATGTAACAACAGGTCATGATGGTTTAGGAACAACAACAACTATCTCAGGACAGACTCAGAACAATACTTTGCAAGCAAGAAATACCATTCAATAAGTCGTCGGTTGCAAGCTCGCCTTTTTTTTCGAGCCATCCAACAGCGGCACTTTCTTTTATGGCGCAAGACTGATAAGAATGACGTGGACGAAGATCGGAGTCCGTCGAATATGATCCTTTGAGCCACTCATAAATTTACGATATTCGGCGACCCACTTCGAGTACTTAAATAAATTATATAAATCCAATATAAATTTGAATGAGTTTTCCCATTTAAGCGAATTATTTATTCACACAGGTTGTGTAGTACGGTCAGCAGGTGCCAGCAGGACTTAGGACCCTCTGCTGCATAGTCAGCTAGCCAGCCCCCTATCAATAGGATCATAAATGCAGTGTTTTTCGTACAGGGGTCGAAAAATAATTTTCACTACCCTTCAGCATAATTTTTCCTACCTATGTAAAAATTCGTTCCTCGTTTAGAATTGTATTTACAAGCTACTGGCTGGCAAGTCAATACACACATATACCTCACGTTCAATAACAACTCGACATACTAGATATTAGAACGCTCAGACATACAACGGTATCGAACAGAGCGAAACTTTTTTCTGTCCCTAAATGTTTCCGTAAGTTAACCTACCAAGTAATATCGCGTCGGTCTTCGTTGTCGCTCGTTTGCGTTCCTATCGAAGGCGCATTCACAAACACATACACGCACAAACAATAATGTACACAATAATCCTCGAGATGTTTAAATGATTTTTCTCGTCATAGCGCTGTTCCAGAGCAATACTATTAAGCTTTTATTTCGGTTCTCCATCGTTACTCTCACTGCCAGTTATCTCTAAGATCTTTTCCTGTTTGACCGACCAATTGTGTCGTTCTAATCAGTTGGAAGCGACTAATGTTGCGATATTCCCTTCGATGCCGCTCTGCCACCTGATCGACGACAATCCGCTGCCGCGCTCTTGTTTCTAATCAAACTATTCGATTTCAGTGAGCGGATCAGCGACACGCTCGTGTTCAAATTAAGCTCAGCTTACTACAGCTACCAAGCTCCACATATTTATATCAACATCAGCCAAACAAACCGCTCGTAGCGGCAACTAGCTAGCAGACATTATCGCCTTAAGCTGTGACCACTATCCTATTGCAATTAGAATGTTTATAAAGATAAGTTCATAAAGCCACTGCAGGGTTCTGTTCTGGTAACAGGCACCTATAACTATTTATTTAGGGTTGGCTCCTACACTTTACTTTCCCTACATTGCGCTGTTAGTGCTCTGCAGTTTGTGACCCCACACAGAATTAATATGATCAGAACAGAGGGCTGCCCTTGACCGCTACAGCCAGCGGTAGTAATGCGCTGTTCTTCTGTTGGCACGTACGGTTAGCCGAGCTCTTAGTGTGCCTCGGTCGTTAACGATGAACGCCGCTGGCGACAAATAGTAACCGTAGGCTTGCTTAGAATAACACCCACACTTTTCGTCATTCAACAGCCAACTGTTTGGCTATAGGAAGAACAACAACAACGTCTAGAATGGCAACATTTCTATCATAGGGTGCTCACTATATCGCTGGCATGAATGCTGCGGAGTAATCCATATCGGACTCGCTTACTTCGAAAGATACAAGCGAACAGAAGCGGCAAAAACGAATTTTGTCTAAATGCTGCCTTATCCGCAAATGTTAAAAGTGGTGGATGGTGGAGAGTTCGTAGCAGCATCGTCTGATATGATGGTGGGAGAAAGATCCAATGGCCGATTTCAAGGCCTAACCGAATGATCCCGTTCCGTAATATATATGATGCTACTTGTAGCAATCTGTAGAAATACTGTTGATAAGTGAAGTTTTATTGAGCAGCATTAAGTAAGTATGTCTATCCATATCACAGCTTTGACAAAGACAATTTGCATAAATAAAGAAGGTTAGTTTTTACACAATAAATTTCGCTGACTTGCTGCCTGCCGCTTTGATGAATATCCAGTGAAAAGATATTTCTGTATACATTGAGCAGTGATTACACCGATTTCGTTTTGTTTATTTTGTCTTCTTAATTAGCTATTCATAACAATAAAATAAGCATGAGAATGTTAAAGGGTTAATTTCGGTGTTGCGTCAAAAGAAAAAGGCGACCTTTTTCCGCTTTACTTTAATCATCAGCACCTGCCTGGTTCTATGTTTACCATTATACACATACTATATAATATATGCAATGCATGTCAACATATACATGCCAATCGCAGAGCTTCCGCTTCCAGAATCTGACCAGCCTAGGACAACAATCAAGTATGCGAATGCGTTCATTCGTTGACCAGCTGGTCAATATCGATCACCAACCTTAAGCTTTTTCCTGTTTGTCTCTGTTGAGCACGTGCGCGCTCATCGCAGCAGAGGCGGTGGAGCTCTTACATGGTCGGTATACAGTGGCAGGCGATATTAGAGCCGCTATCCCTCGTTGTGCGGGTATTCCTTTTATGGACTCAGTCGGTCAAATAATATTTAGGCTGTGAGTTCTTAACTTGTGAGCTGTCCTTAGAAGTGAAAACGGGATTGTGCCGTGGAATGGCGCGAGATGCCCAAAGATTTCAGCTGCTTAAACGGAGTAAGTAAAAAAAAAGTATCAGGTCACCCATTAAAATGGTTGTATTGCAGCATTTGTAGTAATAGGTACTCTATTTAGATTATGAGGAATGCAAATGACACGTAATTGAATTAGCTTCGTATTAAGAAAAACTGCGGGATGGTACTTTTCAGTAGTTGTTCTATAGACAAGCAGACAAGAAAAAACGTAGTATATTTTAAAGTGTAAAATGGAAACTGCTGAATAAAGTAACAAACAGCAAAACGATTGTAATTTTTGTGTATCTACTAATGCATTATGTGTTAACCCCTATTAGAGGTTATGCACTTATATAAGACACGCTAGTATTACCCGTGTGCCATTGAACAGAAAGATGATTTAAATTATACTGCAAGAGGGATATGAAGACTGTATCCCTGGTAAATCTATAACCGCATTATGTTAATGCATATTTAGCATTGGGAGATCTGGGTTGTAACGGAAAAAAAATCAGTCAAAACAAACGTACTAATAGTTTTCTTTTCCCTTATAGTTGATCCCATATTGATACGCCGTTGTAAAACCACATTGATCGAATCAGGTGGGCATATCCTGGACGCAGATGACCTCGCAGATGCATTGCGACGCAAATATCCTGAATACGAACGGAGAAAAAGAGCAGCTTTCAAGAATCTGATAACTGACTGCTTTCGAGCACTCAACGTCGATGAAGAAATGCTTGAGGCTAATAGGACAGGTATATTCAATAAAATGCGTCACTGCGCTGACGTTATTCCTACTGTATATTTCTACAGTTGTTTCAACCTAAAAATTCAACTGTTTTTTCGTTTCATTCAGCTAAGCATTTTTGTCCTTCTTCGAATCGGTATTTTCTTGTCGGATTTACGTGACATATAATTATGATTTACATCGTTGCCAACCAGATCCTTTTGAGACTAATCAATAGATCAGATACGCTCGAACGTGTATATACTTTTTGGTATAAAATTAACATTGCTTTTTTGGAATATCTTAATTTTAGAAAGTAATATGGCAAATCGTTCATTGATAAAATTGTATTCGTCGTCCACACCAAAGGGATCTACAGATGACCTTATTCCGAAGACACTAAACTCCAAGAAGCGCCTTGCTGAGGGAGACGGACATGTTGATGGTGAAGTGGAACAGGCTATCAAAAAAAAAAAGAGCAGCAGAAATGATAAAGGGGTTCAACTTGCTTACCCCACGGTGAGTCAACTCCATAAGTGCATCTATTTAGCATACAAACGTACTGAACTGTTGAAAGCTATATTAGGGGTCACAAATATTATGTTTACGATAGGAGTGTTCTAGCCAGCATTTTAGCCCAACTTCAAGATCATGATCTCTTTAATCTTACTTGGAAAGTATATAGCGCATGACGAAAATCAGTATAGGTTGTGTTCAGTTTTTGTTCATTACTTACAAATTGCGTAGAAAACTTTCGGAAGCTTAAACAGTTAATCTTTGTTGGTCATTTCATTATTATTTATTACAGATGAAGTTAGCAGATGTAGGTGGAATGGAAGACAAATTGCTCGAGGTTGTTAATTTGCTAATGCACATGACCCACCCGGAACTTTATCGTCATCTGGGGGTTCTACCACCTAGAGGGTTTCTCCTGCACGGACCTCCAGGGTGTGGTAAAACCATGCTTGCTGGAGCTATCGCAGGGGAGCTTGGGCTACCACTACTAAAAATTGCAGCACCCGAAATTGTAGCAGGGGTAAGTGGGCGAAAAGTACAATATCATTGTCCCTCCATTCCCTATTTACTATCTATTTAGTGTGGTGTAATTTACAAGTTTTATAGTATAAAGTGAAATGCTCCGACTTCCTTTCAACTCACTTAAACGTATGCTCGACTCGAATATGTTTACCACCTAACGATGGTAGAGCACTGCTCGCATTTGAGTTTAAGTTACGTGCTGCAAATCTCCGCTGCTTGGTTAATTGTACTCTATAATTTAACACAGAGTGTCCTTGTGTATTTTTAGATATCGGGTGAATCAGAACAACGCATCCGGGACCTATTCGCGCAGGCTGTCGCTGCCGCTCCATGCGTGTTCTTCATTGATGAAATTGATGCTGTTACGCCGAAACGTGAAACTGCACAACGCGAAATGGAACGCCGAATTGTAGCCCAACTTCTCACGTGCGTTGATGACCTGAGCTCACGAGAACTGCCGCAGGAGGTTCTACTGATCGGAGCTACGAATCGACCGGATAGTCTTGATCCTGCTTTACGACGAGCGGGCAGATTCGATAGGGAGATTGCCTTAGGGATTCCTTCAGAAAAATCGAGGTCGCGTATTCTACGTGTGCTTTGTAGGAGCCTTCGGCTGGAGGAGAACTTTGATTTTGATAGGATTGCTCATTTAACACCCGGATTTGTTGGAGCAGATCTTACAGCGCTCACTAGAGAAGCGACCGTTTTATCTGTCAAGAGGTTAATTTTATCAATTGAAGAAAAGCGTAACGCATTGAAGCAAAATGATAGCTTGGCCGAGGCCATGGAAGCAAGTAAGCTCGAACAGGTAAACTGTAGTGATAACAAATTTGCGATCTTACTCGACCAGGCCCTTTCGACGCTCAAAGCAGAGTGGGATTTGAATGAAGAGGAACTCGACAGTCTTCGTATTCTTCAGGCCGATTTTGTCGAAGCGATATCCTTGGTGCAGCCTTCAGCAAAACGGGAGGGTTTCGCGACAATACCCGACGTAACGTGGGAAGATGTAGGAGCGATGAACGATGTCCGGGAAACATTGCAAGTTCATATTATGACTGCGGTTAAACATCGTGAACAATACGACGCTCTCGGGTTAAACACATCAACTGGCATCCTCATGCATGGGCCGCCTGGCTGTGGCAAGACTCTGATAGCTAAAGCTGTTGCGAACGAAAGTGGTATAAACTTTATCTCAGTAAAAGGTCCTGAGCTGCTTAATATGTACGTAGGGGAGAGCGAACGTGCTATTCGTCAAGTGTTCCAACGGGCTCGAGCATCGGCACCTTGCGTAATTTTTTTCGACGAGCTTGACGCACTCTGTCCAAGACGCTCAGATGCATCAGACGGTGGGGGCTCCGCATCGCGCGTCGTAAACCAACTGCTTACCGAAATGGACGGCCTAGAACCGCGTAAGCAAGTATTTATTTTGGCTGCGACAAATCGACCAGATATCATTGATCCTGCGATGTTGAGACCTGGTAGACTCGATCACGTCATACATGTCGGCCTTCCGTCAAGAGACGATAGAGTCAGTATTATTCGAGCGCTTACTAAAAACGCAACTAAGCCACCAATAAGCGGGGTAACATTCGACGAGCTTGCCGATGCCACGAATGGCTTTTCAGGAGCCGAATTGGCTGCACTAGTCAAGACGGCATCGATAAGCGCGCTCACTGAACAACTAGCGAAGGATTCTAATGAGAAGGTGGTCGTAGAGGCAAGGCATTTTAACCAAGCGCTTAAAAAATTAACGTCAACGAAAAAAAACAAGAGATAGTAGATGACCATTAATGCAATTGAACTGTACTTTAATATGTACATACAAAAACTACCACTGTAATTATAATTACTTTGTGAAAAAAAAATACAAGATTGCTGAATAAACAAATTAACAAATGAAGAATATGCTCCGAAAGAAACAGTTCCTTTTAAATCGATTTTGCTCCTAATCGTCTTTCTCATACGTCATAAAATATACCTAAATATGTAAGATGCGATCAATACCAGGAAGAAATCTACTTGACTTAATTATTCTAATTCTAGTGGATTTCATCTGATTTTTGTAAAGCAATCAAGCTCATATTCGATAGAGGCACACGTAGACTTTCCCGCTATATGTCAATCCAAATTTTTAGGATATCCAAGTTTGTTAGAAGCCACTCTTTCTATAGGTTTTACTGGCTGCAAGGGCTTATTCTAAAAGGTACCTAACGTAAACTACAAATCCTACAGATATATATAAGCGCATACGATAACAACAATGTCGTGATAGGAAGGCAAGAACAAAAGTTGCAAATGTACAGTTTTTACATACGCCGTTCCTCTCTGCTTGTTACTACAATTAGATAATTTAATCGCAATATAGTCAACCCCAGCGGTCAACCACTCCGATGAAGGTCATTTCGAGGTAGTTGCAATCTTTTTTTGGGCGCCTCAATCCCTTTTGCATTTTTACTGACACCAGCAGCATTGTACGGCGATCTTACACAGACCATTCGTAATGTTTCTCAATCAGTTTCCTGGTAGTCCTTGTATTTTCGTCTATTGAGCAGCTCAATCTGCCATAATATTCACACCGTTTTGCTTATTATAGCAATTTCGTTAATCTTAACAATCCCGCTTCGATAGCGCATATCGTGTTTAGACATTGTTGGAAAGATCACGAGTTGTCAATGAAAAAATAATCGGCACGGTGTTTTATTGCTCTACGAAGTACAGATGTCCTTTATATGAATTGTTGCATAGAAGCTTGTTTCACGCATCGATATAATACACAATCCTATTTTTGGTTCATCTAACCGGAAAGTTAAAGGGCATTTAGAATACTATAGATATTGTACAGTATAGTGACGTGACATCATGCCCGATGTTACGATTTCGAAAAATTACTGTTAACTGTACTTTGTATTTGGACTGGGTGGAGTTTCCCTTCATGTTTGTGAGGAAGCTCCCGAAAACCACACCAATCATGTTGAATCCTATTGTGATAACCTTTACCTTTACTTTAGCCCTAGGTGTGAAGCATATGCCAGTTATAGCATGCAATTTCAATAGCAACGGATATTTCGCTGGCTTCGAGCATAAAAAAGTACTGGATATGATAAAATATACTAAACGAATTTGAGCCAGCGTTGATATAGTTGTTAATGGCAAATAAAACAATGACTGAATTGGGTGACCTGCGTTTCGGAAGACCTTCTAAATGAGTTCGATTAAGTTTTAAACAAATCAACTTTTTACATGGAATAGAGATAAACGTTCTACATTTTGGTATTAAATTGCACTATTGTATAAGCCCTATTTTTTTCCGGAACCAAGGTGTGAGTCCAAGTGAAGTCCCAACCAAGTGAAGTCCGTTGGTCACAGCCTAAACCTTGACGACACCACAACAGCCGAGATATCGAACAAAAAAATTACGATAATCAAAACCGTTGATGGACAGGAATAGCAAGAGTAACTTTCATCAAATTATTTTACCATTTATTTTCCTGTATTTATTTACAAACTAACATGTAATTGCTATCGTAACAACAATGTGAGTACAAGGCATTGACATAAGTTCAGTTTTCATTGAACATTATCCATGCCTTTCTCCCTCTTAGCTGTCAGTTCATAACATTCCAAATATGTGAACGAATTTATCTTTACGATCACGTTTTTATTTTTTACGTTATCAATTTAGCTTTTTTTAGTAAACATTTTCAGGGTTTTTTCTCGTACAGGAGATAACTGTTTGAAACGACGTGCCGCGAAGAGTTTCCTTCATTGGAGGCCAAAAGCGTTTTTGAGTTCTTCCGTATATAAAATCAATGGTATGAGGTTTATATCGAGACGCAGAAGAAAGCAAAATACTACAGCATCCCCGCATAACATCTAGTATGTATGTAGAAGAAACTGGGAAATCGTTTGAATGTCTAAATGTCTAATTTTGTCACCAAAATTATATTGGAAATCATTTCTAAACAAAGGTTGTTTGGTCTTGCGCGCCGGACAACGAGTAAGTGTCCGTAAATCGGAAACGGATTCCATTGCTGAACAGCGAATAGTTACTATCAGCCATAAACAATACGTTAACAGTCACCTAACGATGATCCACATGGCGACCCTGGATCTTCTTAAATGATTGTGTAATATATTCCGTGGTCTTTCCGCCGTTTCGGTCACATCTATAATCCCAACAGCCTGCCTAGTTTGCCGGCTAATTTTGTGTACCCTATCTATTTGGGGGCAGTTCTATTGTCTGTCTGTTATGCAGTGCGAGGAAACTATAACGTTTAATAATAATTTTATATTGAATTTATCGCTAATAGACCCCAACTCTTGCCTCTTAAACATTCGACTCTTCCTTCATTCAATATGAACACCATCCGATGTAAAAAATGTATAATCTTTCACCTTAATTATATTACTTTGAAATCAAATGCTGGAATAAAGCTGAACAACATTAGCAGGTAAGTGGTCAACTGACCGGCGGTGTCAATCACAAGTCAGGATTAATCCTACACCTACTTAAGGTATGAAGACGCACCACTGTTTTTGAGCTTTGAGTCTTCCGATAATCAAAAGGACCAATCATTCATTGTTGAAAATGTGTCCCCTTGGCGTTCTCCAGTCTTCGCGTTAAGCACGTAAACAAGACATTGTAAGACAACATCTACAAGGTTTAGAAAGGGGTAAATGAAAAAAAAAAAGAAAATGCATCCATACAATATATACTGGTGTGTCGTTTTAAACAATGCTCACTTAAACATTACAAGTAACCAATGAAGCAACGACGCAAATCAGTCAAAATCAACATCAATTCTGAACCAGAATCCTATGACAGGTTTTTTTGGTCGTTGTTGGTTACCACCGAGTGCATTTTTGAATTTAATTTAGGCACGATGCATTGTAAATTCGTCATACACACACACGTCCAACATAGAAAATTTGTAAATGAACACTTATCTGTTATTGAGTAATCCAAACAGTCACTCGTTTACTCACCCGCTCAACTCGACTGTACACAATTCATTCTTCGTAATCTCTTTGTAACAATTATGCCATTATCTCTTATAATAAAAATACGCTTATCATCATTCTGTTCAGGGCAATTACTAACTATAGCAGCATTTCTTAACGGTACAAAGAATATATAATTCATACCCTTTTCTGTATATGTATGTACAATATCTTTTGTTAAAGCGGCATGTTTTCCCACTAAACGCACACTGGCATAGATTCACCTGTGATGACACATGGGCACAGACATACAATATACGATACATACGCGTTCATATAATCCCCTATATCTCATCAATTTCCTCATACATCATACGGTTCGTTTCATATCGCAATATCAGCTTCACTCCAAATTCGTAACTCCTATTCAACATCACGTCATCAGCATTATAATTACATTAACATGGTCAATCATTTTCGCTTCTATATCGATACACGTCTATTTCGTTTTTTGTCTAAGTCGAAGTACAATCTTGTAGGTACAATATGTGTTCAGGGGTTGATTTACGATTGTTTTTCCGCAGTTAGTCTGTCTGTCCATATTTTTTACAGGACAGATCGAAGGCAAAAGAGTTAATTTGAATATACAAGAGGCGGAAACAGTAATAGATATTTTTTTTGTCATTATTAGAGAAGAATTAGCGATTGTGAATAAACCGAATCTATTAATGGTGACAACGATTGAATTCTGCCATTCTGATTAATTATGCCAGGATAATTTTTCGAGTAGTGACTAATTGTAACTGTGTCATACAAATTTTTATGTGTTGTAACTTATTGCATTTACTTAGAATATTTATATTGCTATCCGTAGTAAAATGTGATAGAAAATTATTATTAACAGGTAATAAAAAAAAACGTACGTCTAAAGATCGCAGCAGCTGCTATCATCACTCTTAATTTCTAGGAAAACTCTCCTACAGAGTTTAATTTACTTTCTCCCTCTTCGTGTCTCCCATGTCCGCGACGCATATTCTTCTACATTTACGCTGGAAGTGATAATAATACTATAGTATAAATAATTACATATATTCTATGCAGCTAACAAATGGTTGTGTTATTCCTACAAGATCACAAGAATGGGGTTGTCGTGTCAAATCAACGCTTCTCGCAACCCTAATAACTAATCCCGCGCATTTTGTCGTTGGCTTCATTTGTCGTCACTTTTTTTACCCCAGTGGACGCCTATCTGTTTCGTAACATTAACTTGTGCTGTACCTTATGTTTGTCACCCTATTGCCTTACCCGCACATAATTCCCAACTTGCAGCGACTGTGAATTTGCTTTTGTTTCGTTTCGTACACTAATCCGGGCTGGCAGAACTGTGAAATTGCTCTACGCTAATGTTCTAGTACATTTTTGGCCAGCGATGCTCAAGCCGACCCGCACTTTTCTTAAAAATGCGCTATTTTAAGGTTACTCGAAGAGGTCAGCTGACCCTGTTTGACGGCTGGAGTACCATGAGCTGCAGGAAGATTAAGACTCAAGAGAGTTTCTCCGGCTAACTTCATATTTTCCTGATCAAGGCTATCGTTCGATAATTTTAAGCTTTCAAATTACATGATGATGAGCATTCTATTTGGACTTTAGCTGCGCAGTTATCCACTCGAGTCCTTGTGTCAGCCTGAAATAAGAAATAGCATACAAGTGGAAGTCACGGCAAACAAAAGCCAGTTCTTATATCAGACATATGTGGATAATATTTATATGTATTAATGAAGCTAGGCCAGTAATACGTTAATACAGAGAAAGATCATTTGCGTACCTCGATAGAATTCAGTCATCTCGTAGGTAATGCAAGACAGTAAGGTACAATTTCTCGTACTATTGTAGAATTTTCGTGGCGATTTACACACTCAATTTTAACGTTGATCACAGCGTTAGTCCACTAAGCGTATTACGTCAAATTTAAGATTCTTTTAAATGTGGTTTGCGCAACAGTATAAAAAAATGTTTTGCTGATTAAAATCAAAGCTAATTAAAAGGCGCATAATCAATGGGCAGTACTACCGTTAGTGAAGGTTTGACCTGACCAGTCTATACAATGGAGTTGTTTCGTACGGCGGAAAGCACCAAATCACAACTGAACTTATCATAAAACAACTACGGAAAAGTAACCACAGTAAAAGCATCAGTCATCATGTGTGCTTCGGTACTTGCTTAAAAACGAAGAATGCAGCTTTATTCGTTGTCGTGTTTACTATGCGAATGGCAATTAAACCCAGTTCTTTTTTAAGTTTGCTCTGCGCGATTCAGATAACGACAAGTTGGAGAAAATAGACAAACGATGCGTACGAGAGTTATAATAGCGAAAAAAAGACATGTGAAACTCTGGGTTAAGAAATTATTACTGGACGACGGAAATGCCGTTTATTCAGTTCTACACGGCCTAATGAGTTTCTTTATTAACATTGCACATAAAACTGCAGAAAAGGGGCACGTTGTGTTATCGTACCCTTCGCCTGTGAGCGCGCAGCAAGGCTGGATTTGCCAACGGTGTTTCTTGACTGCTGTCAAATTGAGCTGCTGCGAGATTTCTGCTGGACTTAAGCATCCCTTGACGTCCTGCTTATTCGCGTAAACCAATACGGCAGCTTTGGCTAGATCTTCATGAGCAAGCATTCGCCATAGTTCTTCCCGAGTCACCGGGACTCGTTCTCGATCTGTGCTGTCCACGACGACTATCAAGAACTGTAGATGACCACAAGGATAAGATGTACATTTTAGTAAAAATACTTGTCGCAAAGTGTTTGGGCCCATCATTGAACAGAAATAACATCAAAGCGATTGCGAAGCTATGATAAGAATAACAAATTTCTCAGTTATCAAAATTAATTGACCATGTTTCCCTCGCTTGTGAGCAATTGACGACAATCTGAAGAGGGATACAGTTAATAGCCGCTTTTGAAGGGAACAAATCTGTCCGATTCTATATATCTTCAAGGAAAAGCCTTCCATGAACTAAGCGATCGCTATGGCTCTTCATCTCTGACAAATAAAGCCAGTCAGATGATATATGAATAAAGCACAAAAACAATCTCACCTCCGCGTTCGTGTAGTACGTATTCCATGTTGCTCGAAGGCTTTCCTGTCCGCCGAGGTCCCACATGATAAAATGGATATTTTTCCATACCACCTCTTCGACGTTGGAACCAATCGTGGGTGACGTGTGCACGACCTCACCCATCAAACTATGCCGAGGCGGGAAAGATACAATTTAGATTGTGGTATTGCTTTTGTTGTGCCTTATCTCAGTGGTATATCATCTGTTGAAATTAGTCACAAAGACGTATACTTTTGCACCATTTTTACGTATAATGTTTAACTAAAAACTGCATAAACCGAGCACATCATGATTTTTTTTACTTCGTTTCCAGCGTCAGTAAACTGAAAAGAAGTGCTCATACATTGCCTAGATGGTATATACTCACAATTGATAGAGTATTGTAGTTTTTCCCGCATTATTCAAACCGACGATTACAACCTTGTGTTCTGTAACAGCAGAGCAAAGTACAATGTGATAGGTCAACTTATTATCGAAATCATTACAGTTAGAAATCCGTATTCTCAGAGCTCCAGCTTCTTTTATAGATAGAAAAATCTACCACAGCACGCACTTTGAGATATAAATAGTAGGGGTACTTATCTGATCCGAAAGTTTAGACAGGTACATGTCACACTAATACTGGTCAAAAACGTATCGTATTGCATTTTATTTTTGAAAAATATAATTCATAGCTGAAATGTAATCTTGTTATAGCTTGCGAGAATCAAACTAAAGGCTTCATGGGAGATACGAGATACATAAATATTCGTAACACTACCACCAGTGGAAAACAAAATATAAGATTAACGAAAAAATAATTTTTCGGCGTAAAAATGGCCGTACTGGCTACCCTCGTTTTTTTTTAAAAAAAAACTATGCTTTATGCTCTTTTTGAAAATAAAAAGGAAAAAAGAATCACACAAAATTATTGTCTAGGCTAAACTATGCCTTACGACCTGGCTCTATTATCCGTCTGATGCAAATTATATGGGCATCTTTACGGCCGTGCAAGTCACAATTATGAGCATTATAAAAGCTCACCAAAAAAAGTCGAAAAACCAAAATTACAGAAAATACATTGAATCATTTCATATAGATCTGTTTCTTATATTGATATTAAACTACATCACTCCTACACGAATGGAACCCATGAGAAAAGCAAAGAAAAACAGAAGATAACCCTTTTTACGTATGATCAGATCAGAAGATTTACAGAATCATGAAAATTTATTTACTATTTTTTGTTGATAGGAATGATCTCTCAGTGAGCCTAATGACAACATTTTAAACCTGTCGGACGTTTTTTTATAATGTTTTATTTATAAAACTGCTCACAACTTTCACAGCTCACGAATTTATAAATAAATTCGTTAGTACAGCTGTGAGCAGTTTTATTTCGTTGCGCACGTTTGCCAAACACATTAGGCAATACAAAGCAATATTTTCTCTATAGAGAAAACTATCATCAGTTGCAATACGAGGTAAAAAAACAGAAGTCTGATTTTGAGGAACATTGCGCTGGACAAAAGCATACTCTCAAATGGACTGTAAGAATCTACAGTTGCGGCTATCGTAATACAGTTAGTTACACCTAGGCACTGTGTTGCGAGACCTTCAACAGGTTGTTAATTGGGTTCTCATGAAAAAAGAATGCAATTTTTGCATAGTTTATTAGAAAGTAAAAAAATACAGTATAATAAATCATTTCCCGTGCAAAAAGTAGAGTTTTGCCATAAAGTGTCTATAGGAACACTTCACTGTTTCCAGGTATATGAATAAAAACCCTAGCTTTGTTTTTATCTACACTTGCTAAAATAGTATACCTATCTAATAATATTTTATGGAGTAATAGCAATCAGATGAAAAACTATAATACATACTTCTTCCTGAAAAATAAAGATGACGATTATTTAGTTAGCACGTTTTGTTAACATCTAATATTTTTTTGATATCAAAATACTTTACGAAGTATTTTACGCATAAGATGCTTATTAGTTATCGTTTGGAAACAAACACATACGAATAAAATATGCCGCCAAAATCACGCGGTCACGTCAAACAACACAGAATTTAGTTCATATACATATTTTTTTCTCTCTAAAATTTTAGTCTGAACCACTTTGTACACAGTAATCTACACTTAAGCTGTGAAATAAAATTCTTACACTTAACATAGCTACCTATCAATTACAATCCGTAGTAACAGATGTCAAGACGAACACATTTCTGTTCCATCAGCAACAACAATTCTAAATGATTAGTCACGCTGACTACAGGTATCATAGCTTTCGTGTTGAATGTAACTAGTTGTTATGCTTTCGAAGTTCCGTCATCGGTAACTCCAATGTTCTATCGGTCCACCGCATCGACCTGCACGTAGTCGAAGCTACAACTACAAGTACAAATGTAATCGAACGCAGTATACGCCGTTGTTATAAGGTCTGACTTTGTGCTTACTATGCAGAGAATGAGTTTATGCGTTCTGCAGGCGTTGCTGGCGCACCAAACCTTTGTGTGGCCGCTCTCGCTTTCCAAGACCGGCGACACAATTGTGGCTTGTTGTGCTCCAGCTGGTGCCATCACCGCACCAGCCTTTGGTACTATGGAGAAAAACGAGCAGAGTTTGACGATCGTGACCGTTGTATCTGTTGTAACGCTTGTTGCTCCTGTTGCGCCGTCCATCGCTTAGTTTTCAAACAAAAAGTAAACTTAAAGTGATAAAGAACAAAGCATAGATGTGGCGTATATTTGGGTCGCGGGGAGATGGAAAAATATGGGAAAGCAACAGCAAAGATAATGGATTTTGCAACTCTTTTATTAACGTCAGTAGTTAGGCTGTCATCACGCGATCACCGCGCATACGATGAGTAGAATTATTACCATAGCGGGATGCAAATTCTAGCTAGTAAAGTGTTCGTGACCTAAAAACACATTTTCCGGAAAGAATAAGCGTCTAGAGCTATCTGTTGCTAACACAGCTCTATTTCAGACTTTTTGCACGAATTTTGCATGTTTTGCTGTATATTTCAGCGAACTTTATAGGTTCATATTCGCCGTGCAGCCTTTAAGTGAGATTTAAAGCCGCTTAAATAAAGCATTGATAGCTGTTCCCTCTATTACCGCAGAGAAAATATGACGAATTTAACATCAGATAGTTTAGCTTTACGTCGGGTATGTAAGTTGAGAGAAAAAATTATCTGTACTGAGTATCCGTCATTTACGTTATTCCGTTTTTAGTGGGTTGATCGCTACTTCTATTACTATTACAGTTGTAGCGATATCGATTGACAAATATTGTGCAAAGCACAAACTTACGCCGCAGTTAACAGTGCCGTCAACAACATACCCCACGTCTTCAATAGCTAGTGCATAAACATAGGTGCGTATCTTGCGGATTTATTCATGTGGTCCCGCAGCACTTAACAAGTATTGTTTGTCATTCAAGTGATCTTCATTTAACACCACTATATTGTTCGAGGTCTACAAAGTACAAGTGTGGCTACAAAACGGCCGCCATTCTTTTTCGTTCGTGTTGTCAGTAAAAATATTCATTTGATTACGAGTTATTGCAAAAAAAAAAACGCTTCTATTTGTTATATAACGGATGGCACCCAGTATTTACCACCATAATATGACTTGTCTTTTCTATGACCGTACAAAGGTAGCGAACAATTCCATTCAGTTTGGAATACGTTCGGACGATACATACCTTCCTTGGAGAAGAGACTCCACAGCTTGCTCCAAACGAGACCCATGGTTGTTAGGTTTCGAAGAGCCTGCAAGGGCTCCTCCGCCCTTCTCCACACACTTGGCACACCAACCCTTCGAGCGTTTGCCTGCCACAGGTTCACTCACAAATTTCAAACTTTGAACGGTGACAAGTGGCCACAGTAGCCAACATTGCACATTGACTTTCCTGCTGGCATTGAATTCCTCCAGGCTGCGATGGCTGGCAATAATGCCGAACACCAGCGTCAGCAAACGAAGTTCCTGTATTGGGCACCAACACTCTGAGCCAGCAGTCGGGCAACCACGGGCAGCCGGTAAAACGATAAAAATGAACAAGACATCAAATATATGATAAACCTTTTCGGACCACCAACAGCAGCAGTAGCAATAGCACGCACCCAACTTACAAAACAAGCGACAACACGGAGAGCATCCAGCCGACCTGACGAAATACGCATACATACACACCCAAATATATAGAGACACAGTATCTAGATAGAACGAACGGAAGCAGCGGGACCAGCAGGAAGCCCGCGGAACATATCGAAGACGGCTGGATGCATGTATCACGACTAGTACGACATCTATTACCAGCCAGAAATCGATGTTCGAATGAGCGGGCAATTTTCGACTGATTTACGTGATGAGGGAACGGTTAACGCGCAATTTGACCGATAGGTGTGGGCTGCGCGGGCAATTTTGAAATTTTGGCTGAACAAGTGTGTCTGGGAACAAGACATAAGCAGGAACATGATGCAGGAAGTCACAGGGTTAGCTAAGAAGAATCGGCTTATCTAGTGTACGTCATTTGGGTGTTGAGGTGGCTGGCCCAAAAAATATTTAGTGCTAATTGTAATGGCTTTCAAAAGTTTGTATGTTTTAAAAGTGGATGGACTAAATAAGGGTTATTTTTTCATTCGATAAAAATTTGAGTAAAGAGTTCTGCTTGATATTGTAGGACGGTGGTAAGAATACCTTATGATACTGAAGCCCATGCCCATTTGCTCATCCCAATAACTTTTGTCCTTGCTAAAAGAATCAAACTTGATACATTAGTATCAATCCCGGTATACCGATTACAGTAAACTTAAGCAAGACAAAACATTGCACAACCTTCCTGAAACGAGCTCATCAGGAAATGTTGACAGACTTTTTTTGTTGACATGACTATTGCTTATAGATACGCTACACATCAAACTCTTTTGTGGAACACACAACCTGACAGACTATCGGCAAGATTGTTACCAACGTCTGATAGAAATTAATGACTGGCAAAACAAGCAAAACATATGTAGCACAAGTAAAATAATAGCGAAAAGGCTCTCATTGTTAGCAGATTTTTCTAGAACAGCCGAACCTAAAACGGCTGGCGTACACTTATTCACTATGTATTTATATACAGTATCACACAGTTTTATCGGTTTCGAACGAACCTGTGCATAAATGCCATTAATGAACGCATTATTCTAACTGATGTCAGTGTGGTTGCTCGGCCGGATGAAAAAGGAACAGACAGACACTAGAAGAACGTTACAACAAATTACTACATAAAGAAAAGTTCGTGTAAATTTGATTTCAATACGGAAACAGCGCTGCAAGAGCTATACACTGGCAAAGTTTATTAAAAATGTTTTAATACTGACATCTTAGCATGATGAAGGCGGTTGTCGATAGCTTATAGATATCATGGCATTTGCCACTTTTGAGCGAACGTTAACCGGATAATTGTTTTATACGTATATAAATACACTTCTATAAGGTATGGCGACCGCATTGAATTCTGAATAAAAGGTAGCATGCAGCTCACAGCTTTTGTTGCGTTTATTTTTGGTTGGTGCGCGATCAGCTGTTTTGCCGGCAGACGTCATCTTTGATCCCGTGTAAACCCACAAGTGTAAATTTTTAGTGAACACGAAGTAGTTATATTAAAAAAACTGCTTAACAACGAGACAAAGAACGGTAGGTTGTGAATAAATAAGTAGTGGACTTGCTATTGTGTTTCATAGTGGACAGCGGCATCGTAATGGACAGCAGCTTAAGGCTTTCTGCCTCTAGAAAGCAGCTTGCAGAAAGCAGCTTGCAAATTTGGATAAAATGTGAAAGAATCCATTTAGAGATCTAGGACCAAATATCAAGCACTGACTCTGAGTGATGTTCTGCGACATTTTGAGGCTTATCGTAAAAAGTAATTTATTATTATTATGAAATATGTTACGAGGCTCCTCCTACAGAATGTTACACGTACTTTGTTTTTACAGAACAACCGGTTCATTTTATAAAACTTCGAAGGAAATTTCCAGCTTTGCTCTTTGGGATTTTATAATCAGCCCTTAGATACGGATATGCGGAAATTTGCTCGAAAGGCCTTTTCAGACTACCTGCTAGCGACAAATCTCACGTTGGGTTCAGGTTTTATGCTGGCTGGAGATGTTCTAGCTCAAAAAGTGACCAGGGCGTCGAACGATGAAGCGCACAACTGGAAAAGAACAAGTTAGTGGCTAACAGATATAGACTCTTAGTTGATGCTCCTCCGTTACAGCTTGGTGGGTAAAACCTCCAAACGTGAGGAATACAAGGTGGTCGTGGTGCGAATTCGGGTTTCTTTGTTACGGAAGTAATGGTAGAGATATATTCAACGAAATAAAGATTTTATGTAAAATGTAGCAATAAAATTACCTGCAAACGTGTAAGCTTTTCTTCTAGACATTGTTGTAAGCAGTATTAATTTTTAATTTTGAAATGAAGCAAGTAAAAACGCGAAAACGAAATATATAATTACTTGCCACTCGGACGATCTTGCCAATATTCTCTTTCATTGTGAAATTTAGCTGTGCCATGTGTATAAGGAACATGCGTATGCTACTATCAGAATTTTAAACATAAACAAAAAAGGTATGTGATACAACAGTTACTTTATAAATCGATCGCTGACGACAGAATCTGGGAAACTGTGATTCGTTTCAGAAAATATGGCAATTATGGGAACTGGCTTCGGTGTTCTGGGCCATTTCTGGTACAGTTTTCTAGACCGGCGTTTTCCAGGAAAAACTTGGGCCGTTATTCGATCAAAACTTCTAGCAGAATGTGCTGCTACTCCGGCATTTGCAGGTAATCACCCCGTACCACATAAGGTAACATTTCATTATAATCATCAATTACTATTATTATATAACCTGAAGTAAATAGACAACAAGTTTTTTGCTGATTAATAAAAAGAATAGTTGCATCAAGTAAATAATATTTAATAAAAATAACGATTATTTAGTTGGTGCAACTATTTTTCAATAATTCTAGTAATTTCTTTCAATAATTTTATTCTCGATTGTTAATTTTTGGGCAAAACAGACAATCAGTAGAGCAGAATCGTAATGCATATTTGTTAACCCACTATACGAGGAAGATTCGCTGTTATATTTAATCGAAGGTCAAAAAGTAATGACGGTGTTATGACTGCGAGATATGCGTGATGCGATAAAGAAAGTCAAGTGGCAACCCAAGGCCTAAGGTTTATTTAAGGTATACCAGCGGAAACTCACTGAGGTTTTCTTTTTAATGTTCACACTATTATAGGCTACACATTTGTATCCTATGGCATACTGCAGGGTAAAAATTTACAGAGCTGTGGACATGACTTTAAAGAAAAACTGCACCTGGTCTGCATAGCCGACTGGTTTGGATACGTACCGTTACAAGCGATCAACTTCTATTATGTTTCGCCGCAATACCGATTTCTGTTCGTATGCAATTTGGCCGTTCTCTACGACTGTTTTCTTGCATGGTTACTTAATAAGGTGAGCCCCAATACGGCAAATTTGTTCCTAGATGTATAAATTATGTACTCCATATTCCGAATGAGGGCAAGTTTTTTTACGAAATGGAAACGTCAATAATAGGTCGGGCTGCCGAATGTATCTTGTGCCTATTATATTGGCTCTCCCGACAGCGTTAGTAAACTATGTGCAAGAACAGCTGAAGATAACATGCTCGATGTTGCAACAGTAACGAAGACACAATATAAACTGAATAGGAAACAAGCGCGTAATCTTTTTTGAGAAAGGTAAAACAATATTAATGTAACAGTTTAAGGAAAAGTTTAAAGGCCAATTATTTATTTCGTTTGTCCCTTAAAAGTTTAAGTACAAAACGTAGCAAGTATAAAAATATATGTTATCATTTTCAGCCCCACTCTTCCGCGATTCCATCAGAAGAAAATGAACCCAGTGACCAACATTAGAGACAGATAGAGAGAGGGAGATGCTACGATCTATTCAGGTGTAACAGTTTTTATCAAAAAAAATTGTTAAATATTTAATTTTTATTATTAAAAATTCTATGTGGACTTAGCCAGTTACATAAAGCCGTGTTAATAAAGAAATTTATTTTAGATAGTCAGACTGTCATTGCGGAAGACGAGTTATTAGCCTAATTCAATCAACAAAGCCATCTGTTGGTAAGCGATAATTAAAGTGAATGTGCATTGTCATGTGGTAGGGGAAGTAGCTTCATAAGAATTGAGAACGATTCTTTAGGTTTCAGTTTAGGTATTTGAAGGTCGTTGCAAGCTAGACTAGCCGATTCCGCACAGTTAACTTATGTGATTTTAACGAGCTTCACACGTACTTTAATTGAAAAAAGATCAGTTTCATGTTGGTTTCTATTAAATTAGCCGTTTAAGTTTTACGAAGTTTTTCGGTATGTATTGACAGCCAAGGTTAAAAGTGCCCCTCGATTTTGATAAACATGTAGAATAAGCCAGCCGAGTTACTTTGAAATATTATTAGAAGAAGCTTATGGTCATTTTGGTCAAAGGTGTTTTGCGATATATTTATTTAGGTAAATGTTTACCTTTCTGATGATGGTCGGCGTTCTGAGCTTATAACAGCGTGCGAAACTGGTAGCGATACCCCCTGACCTCTTAATGTACCATATTCCATTTTATTTGTAGTCAGAACTCACAAGCATAATTACGTTCTTTCCACTATAGCAATTACTGGTAGGCTTCATTAGTTCTCACTTCAAAAATAACCACAACAAACTATAAAAACGTTCGAAGTACTTCCCTCAATTGTAATACCGCAGTTCTAAAAATGATTCATCTAAACGTTTTAAAGATGCACTAAATCAATCAAACGTTGTTCTCTTTCTGTCATTTGCAAACAATCAATGAATTTCACCCCAAATGACCTCCTGAGTAAATGCAATATTGAAGAAGAAAATAAATTTTACTATGTCCATTTAGAACCTTTGCTTAACAATGCGATTCACTGTATGAACTTTTGTCGATTATACTGACTTTCGGTGGTCACGGTAGATCACAATTTGCGTGCGGGTTTCTAAATGTAAAAGCTGTCCTGCTTTCCCTTCTAGTGATAACATATGTGACGATACAATTGTTGCTGTAGAAACGAGGCCATTTACTGAAGTTAGTATTTAGTCGCCTTAATCCTGGTTGTTGCAATTACTGCTGCAACTAGGTTTAGTATATTCCGAGCGCACTTCCGTCACGCTTGTGTTCTGGGCCTACATTTGGACCAGTGAATTCTTGGGTCGCAAAATGTTGAACAAACATTTTCCTGTTCGTCCCTAAGCCATTCTTCGACATAATGTCAATTAGGTTACTGGTGAACTGCTCTACACAAATTACATTGCTTGCTATATATTTTAGTAATTTAGTTTTTGGATTTATAATTTTTGGTTTATTTTTGATTGATTTATAGGTTTGTCTTAACGTTTATGTTTTTTGATAATGGAGGCCGAATGGTTCGTAGTCCTCGTCAGCTGTTCGTGGTGAAAGCGTTAGCAGACTCTTCGGTATCATCTACCGTTTTTGCCCAAAACTCGCATTTTGCCCAACATGGGTGTAAAACGTGATGAAATTGAGAATCCTAATGGGCTAGCCTCGCCTCTGACGTGCCAATTACCAGTGAAAATAGCTTCGACGTAGTGAAGAGGCGGCAAGTTTGCCGAAAAAATATTCCAAACAACTTTTAGAAGACCTAGTAATTGCAAATATCGTTATAGTCACTGTCATTTTTGCCACTAATAAATTTCAGCAATGATTAGCCTTCACCTTTTAGATGCTGGACACTGCTTCTGTGTGCAATTGGCTCGGAGCCGAACTTGAAAAACGTAGAGGAGCTCATTCGCTAGTAGTTCTGTCGAATATAAGGTTTTTTATTATTATTATAAGATTGAGCGTTTTAGAGAAATTTGCTTGTGTTATTAACACTACTCATGAGGTACACCAGATTAAGCCAATTGTTCTCAAAACTGTGACATGCATTATTCATATAGAAATGAGTCGGCATTTACCGAAGTTTATCACAGTATGCGACTCCTTGGTACCTGTCATGAGCATGAAAGTAGAAATTTAGATGATGTCTTCAAACGTTATATTAAAGTAGATCGATGCAAAACGTTCGGTTTCACTGAAGATAGCTGTGTCGAAGTTCCAACAGCATAAATACGAGGTTCAGCTGAGCAGAACATAAGTTAAGCTTATTTGTTGACATCGCTGTTTTTCCAAATGCTGGCTGTCCTATTTGTAAACATGAAGACAGACATAAAAATCCAACCAACTATAGATCTATCACTATGACGCACTTCAATGCGAAACTTGCGCTAAACATCAGCTTCAAACTAATTGTTCAGCCTTATTTTGTTCGTCAGACCTTTTAGGCTCCCGCTTTTGTGGTCTGGGGGTTTGTAGCTTTTGTACCTACATTACTCGTTCTTGCGATGGAACAGGCCACTTAATCAATACTGTAAAGGCTTTCGATGCCATGTCCTGTGTCGTCTTTTTAGAAACAATTCGCTAGTATGTCTTTTTCCCTGTGGTCTACGATTGGTTCAAACCTGATTCCACCGACTACTTAACTGCAGTATTGTCTCGTATGTCCATTTGTTAACACGTGGGGTTTCGTAAAATTCAGTTTTAGGCCCCTTTGTATTTTTTATATGAATATATGAATGCTTTTCTACATCAAGTCGCGTGAATTTGCATTAGCGTTATATAGCGTTTGTTTTCGCAACTCGTCCGCCAACGTAGACATTTGTAACTTTGAAAGTAAACGAGGCAACGTTATAGCTACCTACTTGACCCTTTACTAAACACTGCCAAAATGGAATATCCTCTTTAAAGCTTATCAATATCTTATCAACGTGCCACACCGCTTGATTTTGGTGGGACAGTCGTTGAATTAACCTCATTCGCAATGTACGCTGGCTTGACAGTTGGACAAAAACTGGTTTCGGCTAATCATTTCCTTAAATTACATCCAAACTCTGTGCTTGCATTACTAGGTTATTTAGTCTTACCAGAAGTTCCTCCCGGAATAGACTTCCGATTCAGACTATTTTTATAAACCCCTTCTTAAACCGTACGCGATTGGGTTTGGGCAAAACATTTTCTCAGTATTTAAATATGGTATCTATGATCCAACGTAATGCGATTCGGACGATCATTGGGTTATCGAAACCTGTTCGTGCATCAAGTTTCTTCAATAAGCGTGAAGTTTTTATTGTTGTTGACTGATGCGCAAATCAATGAACCGTGTCTGATCTCCACCGCTGCCAGCTTTCTAAATGTCTTATCAGAAACGACCAATTGGCTAAGCACCGGCTTATCAAGACAAATATAATTGGAACCCCTTACTATTCCATATCCGCTGCACAAAAAGCCACAAAGCCTTTTCATAGTTACAGCTATAAAGTAGTTCGCTTTATTAACCTTCCGAGTCAAGATTCATTAAACATCGTTTGCAGTATGTTGGTGTCGACGCTTATTTTATTGCTATACGTTGCATGAGACTGCCTCCACTTTTGAAATCTTTGTTGGTCTAAGTCTCTTTAAAGTGAAGCCACCTTAGGGCTTGTATGTTAAAATACAATAACTTTGTAAAACGAACCAGAAATAGACGCAAAAAACAAGCATAGTGCACAAGCAACAGGCATGATCAAGCCGCCTGTTGCGCCTGATTCATGTTCGCGTGGTCAATCGTTAATTGACCAAGCTTCACGCAGGGGCAACGGGATGACAGACACTGCAGCTGGAATCAGTTGAGGCCTAAAGAGCTTCTCCCGTTTCTGTTCAGTGCGAATCCAGAAATTGTCAGTTAGCAGGGTCGATGCATAAATAATGTCCAGATAGCCTCAGTATTGCCCTTAATAATAATAAGCTTGTTAGCCCTTGGCATAATATATATATGTATATATAGTGTAAACATTTGTATTATTACCTACGGTTTTGCTTAATATACCTTGTGTAACGTTGGAATCGACTTATATCTGAAACCATATGTTATCACTCCACACATTTCCAGCGAAAGAGGCTTCCCCTCCACCTTACATAATTCATTTTCTGCTCTGTTCGAGTTGACTCAGTATCTGTTACTGGTGTTCTTTGTGAGCACATTATCATGTATTATATATAAAATAGATACTTTTAACAACGTTTAAATGGCACCTACCTAGCTTTCCATCCAAGTAAATAGTGTTTATACAAGAATAGAAATGCTTGGATTTTGCTTATGTTTGATACCGTAAGGTTTGACAGAAGGACGTTAATATACCGTATAATACGAGTTTGCGCGTCGTCCATTTGCTAACAAACTCTTAAGCTAGGTAAAGATTTTCCACCACATCTAGGACCCCCGCAAAAATTCTAGCAATTTTTGCCATTTTTTGCTTGTAAACTTGCAGAGGATGGACCATGGTGAAAATTAGATTTTTGGGATTTTGGTAAAGTTTCAATTTGTATGAGTTCCAATTATTTTAGCGCTGACAATATAAAACACCTCTAAATAGACTGTAATGTAAATTAAGGCATAGCGCATTTTCTAGGCAATAGTTATCCTAATAAGACATTTCTCTAAATACGGGGCAGAAGCTAGAGATGTTCTTTTGTAATGGTAGATACTGTTCAGTAGGCATTCTTTGACGTTGACCGTAAGCGTCTCGTGCAGTTAATGTCGCTCTTACAATGGCGTGCTTTCTAATGGCACAGGCGTTCAATCTGCTGTTGTGCGACAGTTCACTACGGAATAAAAGACCGGTACGTTTCGAAAATTGATCATCCTAGCATGAATTAGTCAGCAAGTCAAACAAAATCTCAGTTGGCTGTACCTCGAAAAGAGAGCCTCTTTCAACATCGTGTTGGCCGACGTACCTTTGAAACTAACAAATGTTTTCTTAATTCGAAACAAGGGCCTAAAGCCACGCAAATTTTGGGAATCAGAGTTGTTTTAACATTTCTCATAAAGTTTTGTCATAGATAACAACAGTACTGGACGTAAGAATCGATCTGTTTGCTTAGCTGCTACTGAAATTACGCTGTTGCAGCACTCATACCGGTAAAAGAATTACCTTAACAGTATTGTTTCACTTTGTGAATCCTGTATATATCAGTGCGTAATAGTCATAGGATTATTATGAAATATATACATGTGTATTTTTTGAGACGCGCTTAAGCAGATACGTTAGATTATAATAAATGGTTTCCAATCAATTAGAGCGCAGCGTAAACCTCGACATAATATGTTTTGCATAAATAAGGACAGAAGTGTACTCAGCATCTTGCAACACGCTGGCGCTGTTGTAGAATGGATAATGTCGTACGCGGCCTGATGGAAGACCCTTAGACTTGGTAGTAGCAAACCGAACAGGTTGATCGAGCAGTTAAAGTATCGATTAATTCGTTGGGTAAAAGGCACCTTGATGTTAAGCAATTTTTAACTAATGTACGACGGATCACGAAGTTTACATTTTTTTCCCCAGTTCGTCACGATAACACGAATGAGTTCGTACACCGAGTAGATCTGCTTAGTCTGAGACTATTTACTGGAAAGGCCCGACACCCCAAGGCGGTCTGACTCTCGGCTTGACAAAATATGCGACCAGTCTCACCCGGCCTAAAATGCTACCGCCATTTTAGAACACAGTAATTTCAAAAACGATTTTCGACTCTCGCATCAACCCCGACCAGGATGCCAGCATGTATCTATATGGACGTGTGTGCAAACTCAGAACCTTTGTATGGAGGTCACTCTTACGGCGACGATAACGGCATATCAAATGACGAGTCTTTAGAGATCGCCGGTACTAAGCGTAGCTAAGGAAGGTTGGAAAGTTGACTAGTCTGTGCTTGTGAATTGTAAGCGCTGTAATTTTCAATCACAAGAATTGTGTTCGGTACTTCATCAGCAA